GCCAGTGAAGTTTGAACGATTGTGCCCAAAAGCAGCAATATCAAAGAAGACAGGAGAGTGAGACCTGTCTTGAGCTTCAAATTGATTCTGTCTCCGAGACATAGTCTTGTCCCAAATATGGTTTTGCTGTTTTACTTGTTACTTTTATTATTTCTTATTAAATAAAACTTATTTAATACTTTTTAAGTGTTAAAATGTCTAATTTGGCTATAACAATGAATAACTTCAAATGATTAATATGTTTTACATGTTTAAATAAGTATAAAATTTTAGTAAAACCATGTCAATACTTACTTTTTTTCATAAAAAAAAAAAAAAAAATAGAAATTATAAAATAACACAAAAACCCTAATATTTTTAGATTAACCAAGTCATCATCATGGATTACAATAATTTAAGAACAGAGTTATTTTTAAGTTGTAATACATCTTTTTGATATGCTTCATTAATACAGTCAAACCTCTGTTTTTGAATTTAATTTGTTCCTAAAAGTTGTTCAAAAAATCTATTTGTTTTCAAACCAAACAAATTTTCCTATTAGAAAAACAATATAATTTGTCTGTCAATAAATTAATCTGTTCCAGATCCCCAAAACAGTTTTTTTAATACCTTTTTAGCTGTATTTCTTGCATAAAAATGCCAAAAAATGTAATATAATATATTATTATTTATATCTGTGGCTATACCCATTTTATGTATATATTAGAAGAACAATGTTCCCTCACTGCTAACCAAAATCAAAACTATCACACAAAAAAGTGCTATAAATAGAAACTTGGCTCTGCCTGGATGAAATATAACCAAATCAATCAAGACAGACAAGTACTTTATCCAAATTTTCCAAAATATTATGTTTCAATTGCTTTGATTTAAAATTAATTAATTTTAATTTTAGTTTCGGTGTGAAATCCAGAGTTTTAATTATTATTTACCAGGTTGTTCAATAAGTTTTGTCGTTGGATAAGAGGTGGTGCTATTAGGATTCTCACTTTATTTCTCTATAAATAGTACTACTATTTCATAAACACGTGTCAAGTTTCTCATTGTATATTTGCAGCTGTTCAAATGATATTGTTTGTGCAAAATAATATCATTTGACTTGTCACTGTATTTTTTTTACAATGGAAAAAATTGAATATTGTGCAGTGATAAAATTCTTATTTTTGGAAGGTGTAGCACCAAAACAAATTCATGAACGATTGTTAAAAGTGTACAAGGACTCTTCACCTTCAATTAGAACAGTAGAAAGATGGGTTGCTGAATTTAAACGTGGTCGTACGAGTCTTGAAGACAATCCACGTGAAGGATGTCCAAAAAGTGCATCAACACCAGAAATCATAGCAAAAATACAGCATATGGTTTTGGAAGATCGTCGATTAACCGAGAGAGATTTAGTAGAAGCCCTAGGGATTTTGTTAGGCAGTGTGAGAAATATTTTGGCTGAAGTTTTAGGTTACAGAAAGCTGTGTGCACAATGGGTGCCGCATTCGCTAACTATGGAACAAAAACACATTCGAATGCAACTTTCTCAGCAACATTTGGAGCGTTTTAGAAAGGATAAAAAGGATTTTGTGTGTTGTTTCATCACTATGGATGAGACTTGGGTCTACCATCATGATCCTGAATCAAAACAAGAGGCTAAGGAGTGGTGTGAACCCGGTACTTCTGCTCCAAAGCGAGTTAGGGTCCAGAAATCAGCCAAGAAGGTGTTAGCATCAATTTTTTGGGATGCAAAAGGAATTTTGTTTGTGGATTACCTCCAAACTGGTAAAACAATAAATTCAGATTATTATTGCAACCTTTTCGACCAGCCAGATGTAAAAATTCGTGAGAAAAGACCTGGTTTAAAAAAGAAAAAAATAATTTTTCATAAAGACAACGCACCCTCTCACACAGCTCAAAAAAACATTGCGAAAATCAGTAAATTAAAATACAAATTGTTGCAACATCCTCCCTATTTGCCAGATTTAGCTCCCTCTGACTTCTGACTGTTCTCACATCTCAAAAAATCAAAAAATTCATATGTGGGAAATGATTTTCGTCGAATGAAGAGGTAATAGCAGCCGTGGAAGCCTATTTTGACAGTCTTCTGGATTCTCACTTTAGGGATGGAATCCATAATTAGAAGATCACTGGAACAAGTGTATTGAAGTTCAGGGAGATTATATTGAATAATAAAATGTATTTCAAACCATAAAATCGTGTTTTTCTTATTGAACGACAAAACTTATTGAACAACCTCGTATTTATTACTTTTAGTTTTATTTTAACTATCTATTTAGTATTTTAATTAATAAGTACAGTCGACCCCCCTATAATTACGGTCCCTATAATTACGAATCCTATAAAACTACGAAAAAATTGCTACCTGTATCCGTAAAAAATAGTAAAAGTTCCCTATAAACACCTCAAACGTCATCGGGCAACCAAACTACTTTCCCGCCGTCCGTAGCACCACGCTACGGAGAGATTTCTATCGTCTGGACAGTATTATATAAATTATATATAAATTAGGTACTGTACATATAATTATATATTAATTATATATAAATTAGGTACTGTATATATAATTATATATTAACTTATTGTAACTTTGTTATAATTAAATATATAATTTCCGCCGTCTAGCGTGGCGCCACGCTACGGAGATTTTTACGCTAACTATCGTCTGTCAGTATGTAAATTAGGTACCGTAAGTCTAATACAGTACTGTAATTTTATACATTTCTTGTGAAAGAAACATTTCTTATTCAACGGCGATTAAAATTATTTATATTAATGATGTCTCCGAAGTTCTACGAAGTTTTCACAGAAAAATAAGTTGTTAGAAATCGGCCGCTCTTTGCTGAGCTGTTCCGCGACGAAAACAATGTTGAGCAATGGCAATGTCGAATGGTGACACTCGGTAAGTAATCCTACAATTTTTTGTTTATAGCGTAGTTTATACGGATTATTCCCAAAAAATATATACGTATTTTGGAAATGTTGAGTCGGATTAGTCTAGAATCGATTAATTTTATGGAAGAAAATCTTTCAAACAGCCGTAGTCCGTAAACTTGACACGTGTCGGGTTGTGATTGGAAGGATTCGTAAGAAATCGGATTCCTAAAGAATGGAACGTATCTCTATCTTATAGGGGGGTCGACTGTATTAATATTATAATATATTAATATAATATTATATCAATAAATTTTTGTTATTAAATTTGAGTTAAGCATCTTTAAACACATATTCATAGATGTAATATACAGTATTTATTTATTAAATTGAATTTGGCAATGTCTTGCAGAGAATATATGTCATCCCCCGATTACAACAATCCCAATTAATTAAAAAACAATATGTGGTAAAAACAATGCAAGAATAACAAAAAAATCATAAAACAAATATAAAAAGTGTTTGGAGTTAAGTATCTTTTTACAAATGGCTTTGAATTTATAGAAGTCAAGGAACAATTTATCTTCAATTTTGATAGCAATTTTTTGATTACATATTATGCGAATGTCAGTTAACATGGTTTTATTAATTAATTTGATTTAAATTCATTTGCAACACTTACTGAAAAATGGTAGTAGTATCTTACCCACATGCACATTGAAATCGAATTTGAATAACATCATCATTGATGCTTCATGTCATAACATCTAATGATGTGGGTGATCTTGGTGCCACTAAGTTCTGAATAGGTAGTCCCGTTGTTGATTGGTCAGGCTGCTGACTTTTGTTAACAAAGGAAGTACAGTAAGACCCTGCTTAATGCGGGGGATGCGTTCCTAGACGACAAAGCGCTAAACGAAACAGTGTTAAATGAGGTCATTTTAACACAGTAAATAGGGAAAGGGGAACATGTGACCAAATGTAAACAGATTTTACTTTAATTTTAAGTTATTTTTATATTAATTTGCATAACAATATATGTTAAATAACACATAGACAGATGCACAGAATTGTAAAGTTCATTTTTGTGATGAAGCTTCTGAAATTCTTCTTTTTTTGTGATAAAGTCATGTAGTTTCATTTGTTGCTTTCTTTTTCTTTCCTTAAGTAAATGTCGATAGCAAGAGGTTGCATCCAAAATGCCTTGTGTTGCTTTTGCAGTTCTTTCAAAATCTGGATCATTTTGCTACAATTTTATCAATGATTTTGGTTATCATTACCAAACTTTTACTAAGGAAATCTGTAGAGAAATTCTTTGGATGCTTTGTTTTCAGAATCTCAATTTTCTAGTTCTACATGAATTCGCTGTTCTGCCAGTTCTTGAAGGTCGTCATTGGTAAGACTCTCACCAGAAACCTGCAGTAACTCCTCAATATACTGCTTGTCTATATCTCCTAGTCCTGCTGTATCAATTAGGTTGACCAAATTGTCAACCTAATGATACAGCGATAGGCTCTTCTCATTGAGAATTCTTCAATACCTCCAGCCATAACTTCTTCCACACTCTGTTCATGCATTTATGAGTTAATTTTGCCAAGCGAAGTTGATATTGCTTATGGTATCCATGATATATTTTTTCCAAAATTGCACCAAACAAACATAGATTTAAAGAAAGTATAGTGCTATGATATTGCCATCTTTTGTTGATTGTTTCATGTTTTAGAATAATCATTTTGTATACAAATTAATGAAATGTCACAATAATTTGAATCAGTGTAAATTTTTAGCTTTTTTTTATGCTTTGAGCAGACTGTGTTATATCAAATCAGCATTAATCAAGGCAATGTTAAGTATGGTCTTACTATATATTGAGTGTGTGTGTCTAATCTGTGGCCAGCTCTTGCTGAGTAATTTGTTTGACAACCAGGGCAAATATGGTGTTTAAAATTTTGTTTGTAAACTGAATTGTTCAAAAAGTGAGGCATTCAAGACCCAAGGTTTGACTGTATTTCTAACTTGAATATATGTTTAAGTATAGTAAAAATAGCATAAAACAAAAATTTTAAAATTTAACAATTTGTAATAATGGCATTTTTTCTGTTTTCATATCTATTTTCTTGTAGGTATTATTTGTTCTTCATGAAAAGAAAATCAAGTTTAAACCTTATTTAGTTGACTTAAAGGGTGAGCAATATGAATCATGGTACATGAAAATGAATCCTAAAGGAGAGGTACCAGTTCTTAAAGATGGAGAAAAAGTTATCTCTGATTCTTCACAAATAAATGATTATTTGGAGGAAAAGTATTCTAATGGTAAGATAAATAATTAAGATAGGTAATTCAATATAAATGCAGAAAATAGACAATATAAAAAATTTTTCAAATAATTATACATTAATGAATGTTGAAAATATAATTTAAAGTTAATGATTTTTTTTCAAAGAAAATCATCCTAGTCTCATTCCCAAAAAAGGAAGTGAATATGAAAAGAAGGAAAGAGAATTAAGACTTTTATTAGAGACTTTTCCATCACCAATAATAACTTTTGGATGTATCAAATTTCCAGAATTAACAGTTAATATGAAAATGAATTTATTAGAAAGAAAACTGCGATCACGTATGTACTAGAATTTTTTAATTTTTACATCTGTAGAATTTTTTCAACAGTAAAATTTTACTTAGCCAATACAATCGACTATTCCAATTTCCATTAAAACAACTTAAAACTTCTTTTGGTTATTTATAGTATAATATTTTCAAGCATTATTTGTAATATAAACATGTATATATTTATATTTTTATTCTTTTTACTAATATGAATTACTGTCAAACAAGTAATTTTAAAAAATTTTCATTTTTAAGTCAAAAATCTTGGTGAGATGCTGAGTATATAAAAAATACACTCATTCAGTGTATAGTCCACAAAAATATATTATTACAATTTTACTTCTTTTTGAGTTTATTTTACACATTGAATATCCAGATGAAAAAAATTACAGCTTAGAAATTTTAAAATCCGTCTGGGAAGTATAAGAACTTTATTTAAAAATATTTTTAAAAATTTTGTATGACTATTTCTTGGGACGAATAGGAAAAAATTATCTTTTGTTTTTTTAACTATTATTGTCTTGATCTTTCTGGTGTGTGTTCTTAATGTGGCCCTGTTAAGTATTTTTCTCAGCCTTTGTCTATATCTATTCTTTCATTTAACTTTATTTTATAACATTTTTTTAATCTCTAAATGTTCTTTTAGTCTCCTTTTTAGTATATATTTTTTCTTTTTATAATAATTTTGAGTTTTCTTTTATTTTGAAATAATGGTTATTACAGTATTCAGCTACTGCTGTGTTTTCATAATTATATTTTATAGCTCTGATATGTTTTTCTGTCCTTGTTTTAAATTAATATTTTTTTATTTGTTTAGTTTTTCTGATATAATACTATGCTAGATTGCAACTGAATTGTAATGTATAAACTATTGCTTTCTTCTTCTGTTTCAGTATTTTTATTTTATCATTTCCTCCTTCAGTTAAAATAATAGCTAGTTTTCAGATCATATCAGTTTCGGTCATCAGATCAATTTGTAAAAATATTGCTTTTTGCTTTTTAAAGTTTTTATGGTTCCTGGATGGATTTAAACATTTCCAAGAAGTCATAATGTGTTTTTGCCCTTAAATATACCAAGAATAAAATGGATACACTCAAAAGAAGTGAGTAATTTTTTATTAATATAATGTTGTTCTTGTGGACTAGACTAAGAGTAGTAGTATTTTATTCAGACAGATAGAAAAACACACACATGAAGTACTGTGTGTTCTTGCGGACTAGACTAAGTAAGATCAAGGTGTTGCAAACTAGTGGAATTGGCAAAAATGGAAGTTGCAGCCATCTTAATGGAACAGTAAATGGAGAATTTTTAAGGCAGCTATAGTGTGCATGTGATATTATGGCAACCCTACATTGTGGGAAATTTTGTGGTGAATATTGCAGTTTTACCGCTATAGGATATCTCAGTCACAAATCGCTTCCTTGTGATTATGTTCAGTGGGAATCATTTGTCATTTCACTCATAGCTCATATGATGATCATGGCCCTGACAAATTCTATTAACCAATGAAGTCCATGTTTACTTGAAAGGGGTTAACATAGATAACTGTCGTGTTTGATCTGGAAAAACTTACATGTTTATCAACAAATTCCCTTGCAACAACCAAAATTTAGTGTGATGAGGGTTCATAACAATCTTCACCATCATTGGAAAATATTTTTTGAAGAAACGCTGCATCTGGATCAGTGACATGTTCTGTCATTGCCACTAGCTAGGTATGGAGACATGCTGCAAAACATTGTCACCCCTATACTTTAACAACCAAATTGTTCAGATAACTCAATCTTTATTCAAGATGATACATCTTCATATTGGCATCAATGTGCAAAGGTTATGCATCAGCACTGCAAAGGAAAGAGTGATTATATGATCATTTTCAACATAATCTCTTTTGAGTTTTGGTTATGGAAATATTTGTTTATGAAAATGGTATTTCTAACTTAGCAGTCTCAAAAGACAGAATTTTGATATAAATGAGACAACCTCAGTAAAGCCAAGTTATATTCCACTATCAAATGTCTGCTTTAGAACAGGTAGATGAGGACATGTGCAATAAAACCATTAGTCTAATTTATTAGTTAGTTTAATATATGTGCAATTTGCATGTATAAAATTACCATATGTGATATTGTAATCTATGGAAAGTTACAACTTCTGGAATCTGTAATTGTCATACTAATTGCAATAAAATCATTGCACTTTTCTAAACATGTTAGAGAGTTTATCAAAGAAATTCAGATACTTCTTTGACAAACTATCTAATATATAGATTACAGCAACATTAGTGCCAAATTTTCCCTGATTGGAAGTTTTGGAACTAAACACTTTATTTGCAAAATCAAAATCCCACTGCCAGGAAAGTATGAATGCCAAATTTGGTTATATTGTATTTAGTGGTATACAGAGAACTAAGCACTTCCTGTTTAATGATAACCTTCCTATATATGAAATTGGAAAAGTCATTGTTATTAACTTGTTATGAATTGAATTAGCATATTTTTAATATTGTATAACATTCATTTATATGCTAGATATATCAATGATGATTTGATGTTTTGGAGAAGATGCCCTGATATTTGAGAATTTATCTGCAACATAAACATCAACCTGTACAGCCTCACCTTAAACCTGGAACAATTGTTTAAGGCATACTTCCTAGATGTTTTCTTCTCTTTTGAAAGAGATGCAGTTAAAACCAATATTTTTAGAAAACCCAGCTGCAATCTGCTCTTTTCCTGGGCCTCCCACAATCCTTTCCACTATAAATTGTCAGTGTTTAGGGCTCTGATTAGAAGGCCCTACATCATTATGAAGATGTCTGCAATAGGATGCAAGAATTTAAGTACATCAGAAAACATGCTGAATATTTTGGCTTTAAATCTAGCATCATCCAGACTGTTATAAGTTCCACTTGAAACCAAAAGTCGACATAAACCACTCTTCAAGGACTGATTTATACTCTAATGAGTATGCTAGGCCCCTCCACAATGTCTACAGTGAGACCAGTAATGCCAGTGGCAGAAGGATCTTATACAAAAGGAATCCTATTTATAAGCCACTACTAAGTGATAAAGACCTCCCAACCCGTCAACATTCTGGGAGTACAGTGGGTGATCAGTTANATTTTGTTTTCACTTTGATCCCTGAGCGTTTGTGCCCATCATTGGTCTGATAAGCCCTCACTATTATCTGCCTCACGGTTGTGGATAATTTAATTTAATTGATATAAGTAAAGTTTTAACCATGAGATTAAATTATAAAACATAAACAATTATAAAATTTTTAATAACGAATGCTTAATTATTTCAGAACTATTGGTTCATCTTAATGAAGTATTAGAAAAGATGAGCAAACGTTCAGAATTCAGAGAGAATTATTTAGAAAAGAAAGAAAAATTTAAAGTTTTGTCAGAAAAAGTGAATGATATTAATGCTGTTTTAAAAGAATTAGAAGAGGTTGAAAAAATGTTAAAACATATAGAAGAAGAGTTATCTTCACATAAAGACGGTATTGTAAAACTTTTATTTTTGTTTACATTTATCTTTTCATTCAAGAAGAATGATTTGTAAAATCATTTTATTGTTTATTCCATCAATTGATTGCAATACAGTCATGAGGCACAAATGCACTATGGATTATATGGGGTATATTTTAATTGGTGTCAAAAATTCTAAGAGTGTATATTCTCATTGACTAAACATTAAAAAAAATTCATATAAACATGGATCTAGAAACAATTTGATTTATTAAAGGTTTTTCAGGCATTTTATTTCAATAGTTAGTCAATTCATATTGCTTTAATAATTGAGTTACATAGATATATTATGTATGTTTTGTGTGTGTTGTTTTGTTGTGTACAAACATCAGTTAGTTGTGGAAGACATGCACTTCATTTATGGTCTTGCAGATGGGAATGCATTAAGAGCATGTGAACTGTATTTGGGAGGGAACTCCAACACGTCCAAGAACACACTCACAAATCCATCAACATTTGTGAGCAAAGGGCTTATTTAAGAGAAAAACCAAGAGAGGTACAAAATGATGAGCTTGAATAAATTTTGTAATAAAAGAAAATCCATCAGACAATACAAAAAAAAATTGTATTAACTCTTTAAGCCCTGAAAATTACTTCTGTAACTGCAGATGAACCTCAGACTACAAGGGGAGTTTGTGTAGCAAAACCAGTCAAACGACTGTCTCCAACTGATTTTGTCTTGAATGGATTAAACTTATTTTGGATAATTTCTTGTTTAACCTATCCCATGTTAAAATTTTTCTCCGTTGCATGTGGCCACCATGTTGAATTTTTGTCAATGTTAAGCCTAACAAAATTTTTTTTAAAATAATAATTATGGCTACTATATCGTTAAAAATTATTTTATTTTTCGTAAACAAAATAGATATATTAATAAATATAAAAACAAAAAAAATTACATTTCCAAAGTTTGTTTTAATATAAAAATTATGACACAGCGACATCTAGTATCAAAAATGTTCCAATGCAGAAACAAATATATTCAGGGTCAGCGGGGCAGGTCAAATGAGGTCTACACGAAAATATTTGGGAACAACATGGGACAGGTTAAAGAGTTAAGGGACAGAGTTAGAAAATATGATGTGGGTGATAGGGATACAGATTTTCATGGAGAATTTTATATTTGGAATATTCTCCATGCAAATCACCTATCATCTTTAATGGGTGCAAGGATTTAGAAACAGATTTTCTATCACAAAGAACATTCAGCCAATGCAATCAATGATGAAAGAGTGCTATTGTCCTTAATTTCTTGGTATTTATCTTGTTCATTGATGATTCTAATTTTGCCATGATAAGGTCTTTAAACAACATAACAACATGAATTGTAAAATTCCAAGGATTAATTCTGTTATTAAAACAATTTTGACCATACAAATATTAGTTGGAATATTAAAGAGGATTTGAACTGACCCAGAATTATTTGTATGGTCAACATTGTTTTAATAACATAACAACAACAACAATAATTGGAATGATGAGAACATTGCATCAAAATTTACTACGACAGAGCCATAAATAAAACAATTTACCACAACAGACCAGACATCACACTCATTGACAAACACAATAAAATCACATACATTATAGACATAGCCATTCCAAACACTCACAATATACAAAATACATGCACTGGAAAAATCAGCAAGTACATGGAACTCGCCCAGGAAATAAGGCATCTGTGGAGGATGGATAGGGTGCTTATTGTACCTGTCATTCTCTCCTCTACAGGTATCATACCACACACACTACACAAAAGCCTGGGAACATTACAATTGAACAGAAACACATACATCATACTACAGAAGGCCACTACTGTACATTGAATACATGCCATATTGTTAGGAAATTCCTGAATACAGACACTGACACACTTATTTAATTTTAGTTTTGTTTTGGTTGCTTTGCCTTGACTCTAGTCCAGCATAGTACACAGCCATCGGTGTCAACCGAGTATAACCCACTCAACCCAACATAATAATAATAATGTGTAGAGCCCAAACAGTTAGGAGTTGAAATTTTGTACACAGTTGGGTATGTCATGAGAATGCACACTAAGAAAGGATTTTTGGAAATTCCACCCCGCAGGGGAGAGGAAGAGGGTTAAGGATTACCATGAAGAATTTGGCTTCTACTGTACTATTTTAGATGCGTTTTGTGCTTTTGTGGGAAATCAAACATATTTTTAGACCATCTAAAAATTCTCTTGTTAGTCTTGAAAGAGGGAGACCTATTTCTTGCATCAGTTGAAAATGGGTAAAATGGGCTGTAATCTTAATCTTCGCTATCATTACTTTTTGTTTGAGCAATGCCAGGCTCATCTGCTAGTTTAATTATAACTTTCTTTTAATTACAATTTGTCTGAAAATCTGTCAATATAATATAATTATATTGACAGATTTTCAGACATAAAATCTTTAGAACTTTTATCACATTATCATGTTAATAATTTAAATATTATGAAAAACAATTTTCTGAAGTGAGTTTTAATTCTTAAATCAAAAAATTTTCCATAAAATTTACTTAATCTAAATTATGTAGTGAATTGCCATATTTATATTCATGTCCAGACTATATTGGCAAGTCACTCTTACGCACAAAAAATATTATAATTAATGATGATCTGAAGAAAGATGTACTTAAAGAATTATATGATTTAATATCATTAATTTTTATGGTACCATCTACCAGTGCTTCTGTTGAGTGCAGTTTTTCAACCATGAAGCGAATTGATACATTTGCAAGGAACACTCAGTCAGAGGAAAGATTGTCGTCACTAGTAAGGAAAGCAACCTTTATTAGAAAAAAGAGCTTTTAAATGGAATCGATGACAAGCAATTTTTATGATAAAGTAATTAATGACTTTGTGGAAAAAATTACTGAATAGAGTTAGTTTATAAAAAATAATAAAAACAAGTTCTTATATCTTGTTTCGTGTCAAGGTATCTATTTTAGAATTAAATGAACTATTTATTTTTGTCATTTCCAGTATTTGTTTAATTAAAATTTTTATGGAAACACAGCTTCCCTATCATCAAGTGTCATGGCACACCACTGGTAAATATATCAACAAAGTAGTGTTGCTTAATTTCTGAGATCTTTCATGGTGGTATGTGAGAGAGAAATATTGGGTTGTTCGGAAAGTAATTTTGTTTTTTTTCATGGCAAAAAAAAACAATATTTTTATAATAAATAAATATTTTATTGAATTATATATTGACCATTTTGGTCAAATACCTGTTGCCATAGTTTCTGTTAGTAGCATGATTCCATGTTTATAAAAGTTTTGATGTTTGCTTACAAAAAATGGATCCAAGTANTTGTTTAACCTATCCCATGTTAAAATTTTTCTCCGTTGCATGTGGCCACCATGTTGAATTTTTGTCAATGTTAAGCCTAACAAAATTTTTTTTAAAATAATAATTATGGCTACTATATCGTTAAAAATTATTTTATTTTTCGTAAACAAAATAGATATATTAATAAATATAAAAACAAAAAAAATTACATTTCCAAAGTTTGTTTTAATATAAAAATTATGACACAGCGACATCTAGTATCAAAAATGTTCCAATGCAGAAACAAATATATTCAGGGTCAGCGGGGCAGGTCAAATGAGGTCTACACGAAAATATTTGGGAACAACATGGGACAGGTTAAAGAGTTAAGGGACAGAGTTAGAAAATATGATGTGGGTGATAGGGATACAGATTTTCATGGAGAATTTTATATTTGGAATATTCTCCATGCAAATCACCTATCATCTTTAATGGGTGCAAGGATTTAGAAACAGATTTTCTATCACAAAGAACATTCAGCCAATGCAATCAATGATGAAAGAGTGCTATTGTCCTTAATTTCTTGGTATTTATCTTGTTCATTGATGATTCTAATTTTGCCATGATAAGGTCTTTAAACAACATAACAACATGAATTGTAAAATTCCAAGGATTAATTCTGTTATTAAAACAATTTTGACCATACAAATATTAGTTGGAATATTAAAGAGGATTTGAACTGACCCAGAATTATTTGTATGGTCAACATTGTTTTAATAACATAACAACAACAACAATAATTGGAATGATGAGAACATTGCATCAAAATTTACTACGACAGAGCCATAAATAAAACAATTTACCACAACAGACCAGACATCACACTCATTGACAAACACAATAAAATCACATACATTATAGACATAGCCATTCCAAACACTCACAATGTACAAAACACATGCACAGAAAAAATTAGCAAGTACACNGTACTACGACAGGAGATACACTGATTTGGTAATTCCGATAATAATAATAATAATAATAATAATAACTGACAAACACAATAAAATCACATACATTATAGACATAGCCATTCCAAACACTCACAATATACAAAATACATGCACTGGAAAAATCAGCAAGTACATGGAACTCGCCCAGGAAATAAGGCATCTGTGGAGGATGGATAGGGTGCTTATTGTACCTGTCATTCTCTCCTCTACAGGTATCATACCACACACACTACACAAAAGCCTGGGAACATTACAATTGANTGTGGAGGATGGATAGGGTGCTTATTGTACCTGTCATTCTCTCCTCTACAGGTATCATACCACACACACTACACAAAAGCCTGGGAACATTACAATTGAACAGAAACACATACATCATACTACAGAAGGCCACTACTGTACATTGAATACATGCCATATTGTTAGGAAATTCCTGAATACAGACACTGACACACTTATTTAATTTTAGTTTTGTTTTGGTTGCTTTGCCTTGACTCTAGTCCAGCATAGTACACAGCCATCGGTGTCAACCGAGTATAACCCACTCAACCCAACATAATAATAATAATGTGTAGAGCCCAAACAGTTAGGAGTTGAAATTTTGTACACAGTTGGGTATGTCATGAGAATGCACACTAAGAAAGGATTTTTGGAAATTCCACCCCGCAGGGGAGAGGAAGAGGGTTAAGGATTACCATGAAGAATTTGGCTTCTACTGTACTATTTTAGATGCGTTTTGTGCTTTTGTGGGAAATCAAACATATTTTTAGACCATCTAAAAATTCTCTTGTTAGTCTTGAAAGAGGGAGACCTATTTCTTGCATCAGTTGAAAATGGGTAAAATGGGCTGTAATCTTAATCTTCGCTATCATTACTTTTTGTTTGAGCAATGCCAGGCTCATCTGCTAGTTTAATTATAACTTTCTTTTAATTACAATTTGTCTGAAAATCTGTCAATATAATATAATTATATTGACAGATTTTCAGACATAAAATCTTTAGAACTTTTATCACATTATCATGTTAATAATTTAAATATTATGAAAAACAATTTTCTGAAGTGAGTTTTAATTCTTAAATCAAAAAATTTTCCATAAAATTTACTTAATCTAAATTATGTAGTGAATTGCCATATTTATATTCATGTCCAGACTATATTGGCAAGTCACTCTTACGCACAAAAAATATTATAATTAATGATGATCTGAAGAAAGATGTACTTAAAGAATTATATGATTTAATATCATTAATTTTTATGGTACCATCTACCAGTGCTTCTGTTGAGTGCAGTTTTTCAACCATGAAGCGAATTGATACATTTGCAAGGAACACTCAGTCAGAGGAAAGATTGTCGTCACTAGTAAGGAAAGCAACCTTTATTAGAAAAAAGAGCTTTTAAATGGAATCGATGACAAGCAATTTTTATGATAAAGTAATTAATGACTTTGTGGAAAAAATTACTGAATAGAGTTAGTTTATAAAAAATAATAAAAACAAGTTCTTATATCTTGTTTCGTGTCAAGGTATCTATTTTAGAATTAAATGAACTATTTATTTTTGTCATTTCCAGTATTTGTTTAATTAAAATTTTTATGGAAACACAGCTTCCCTATCATCAAGTGTCATGGCACACCACTGGTAAATATATCAACAAAGTAGTGTTGCTTAATTTCTGAGATCTTTCATGGTGGTATGTGAGAGAGAAATATTGGGTTGTTCGGAAAGTAATTTTGTTTTTTTTCATGGCAAAAAAAAACAATATTTTTATAATAAATAAATATTTTATTGAATTATATATTGACCATTTTGGTCAAATACCTGTTGCCATAGTTTCTGTTAGTAGCATGATTCCATGTTTATAAAAGTTTTGATGTTTGCTTACAAAAAATGGATCCAAGTAATTTTTTACATTTTCATTTCAAGTAAACATCTTACAGTTTAAAAAATTATGTAAAGATTGGAATAAGTAATAATCTGAGGGTGCCTGATCTGGCGAATGTGGTTGGTGTGATAGCACATCCCATCTAAGCTGTAACAGTTTCTGACGAGTTACCAAACTTGTGTGAAATTTGGCATTATCATGGTAAAACACTACACCTGTTTTGTTGCTCAATTCTGGCCGCCTTTTCTGTTTGATGATATTACTCAATTTGTTTACTCGATGGCAGTACACTTTCGAATCAATTGTTAAATTGTCTAGTAAAAGCTCAAAAAAAAATTTCCTTAAAATCCCACCAAAGAGAGCATCTCTCTTTAAGAACGTGGAACCCATGTATCGAGCTTTGAAAAAAAAACCAATTTGTTTCAAATAATCCTAAATGGTTCAATTCATCAAATTTAATCTCTTAGTGATTTCACGTGTTGTTATTCAGCAGTTTGCTTCAATCAGTACCTTTATTTTGTTTTCATTGGCTTCAACTGGCCATCCAGAATGTGGTGCATCTTCAATATTGAAATTGCCAGAATGAAATTTTGTAAATCAGGGGCCATATTCTGGTCACCGTCTCTCGTCTCTCACAAGCCTGTCGCTGATTGGCTAATCCAAATGATTAACCAACCAGCGACCAGCTTGTGAGAGACAAGAGACAGTGACCAGAATACGACCCCAGTTTTGGCACTGTCTTCCTCTCAACACATCTTCTCCATACATGTACTGTACCACAATTTTTTTTCTCGCTTGAACAGCATTTCGATTTTTTGGTAATAAAAAAAGCAAAATATGCTGAAAATGATGCTTTCGATTTTCCATATTTGATGGGACACTGAAAAAAAAAATTGTACAGAATCAAACAAAATTTTTTACAAATAAGCCGTTAAACGTCAAGTGTCAAAATATATAATATAATGAAAATGTGGTTTAAAATGAAATTGGCTGGTAAAAATACATCTAATTCCTCTAGTAATAAAAAAATGAAATTACTTTCCAAACAACCCAATACATTACACCTTCATCTACTTGTGTGTCTTCAATTATTTGTGTTTATCTATAATTTGAAAGTGCTAAATTAAGAGTTCCTGTTGAATATGGATTACTTTAAATTATATCATCATACTACAGTATAATGTAATCAATTTATTGATTTACAAATGAATAAAAGACAATGCAAAAGTGATAGTAAGTGCATGTAGCAAATGTGCAGTTGTATATAGTTGTCCAAATAAAACATAAATTGGGCCAACATTGTCTATTAAATAGATGATAGAACCACTATATATATATATATATATACATACATATATACACACCTTTTTGATGTCTTCTGTTGTTCATTTGGTGTGTTTAACAGTGAATCATCCAGTAAAATGTAGTGTATCTCCAAGCAGGCACATGTCATGATGTGAGAGATGAATTTCATTGGGATGTTATACCACATGCAGACATGTTAGGGGAAGCCTGGTTTGAATGCATTATTGTCTTTAGATGGTAGAGTTTCAAGGTAGATTTGAGACCATGGCAGATCTTGAAAGAGTTGAAAATCCCATCTTTCCATCACAGTAGACATGATTGGTGATGAACAATTACAGAATGTATTTGTGAATGAGCTATCCCTTGGCAGAATTCTATTGGCACGATACTCCAAACACTTGGGATATGCAAATATATGTTTGCAATGGATATGGCTCCAGGCATATAAAAGAACAAATATCACAGCAGATAAGTTTCTTGAAATAGCTTAAAAGCTGCCAACACCAAGGTCTATGGAGCTGTTGAGAAATTGTATCATAAGCAACTGGCTTTTTTACTATGCAGAGAGCATACGTAATTTAGAGTATTGAGATACCTGTCTAAATGGAGATGCTTTTTTTTAGACTGAATGAAATTCAGTCTAAAAAAAAGCATCTCCATTTAGTAATCTCCATTTCCATTTAGCATCTCCAATTAATTATTTAGTAATCTTCATTTCCATTTAGCATCTCCAATTAATTATATGTACTGTACATTCATCTACAAATACATCATGGTATTGTGAGAACCTGGGGTCAAAGGAGTGTCCCCTAATGACTGCTTAATTGGTGACAGATCGGCGAGATCCACTCATGTGGTCGTTGGATGGCAAAAAAGTAGGTAGGAGGGTCTTGCGTTTTGTCAAGTGGGGAGATCACGAATAAGTCGGTAGGTGTCTCTGCTACCAATGAATAGACAGGTACAGGTTAACGACTACAACATATATTTTATATAAAACAAAAGGATTAAATACATTAGCTGAGTACATAGTGTTTGTATACCTAGATTTGTCTATCTGCGCTTCTAACTTTATCGTGCATGTGGTGAGACTTTCACTCGAGAGAGAGAGAGTTTACAAATTTACCTCTGGTTGGTAATCTGTTCGTTTATCTTGGAAAATGTTCATGGAGAAATGGTATGACGGGCAATGTCTTTCATATAGTTCACGTCTTCAGTCCTTGTATGGCTTGTCCTGGCTATGGTCCGCCTAGGATATGGAGACTGTCAGAACTCGGCACAGTGGTGGCATATATTTCCTAGATGTCATCCAACTCCCTTTTATCGACTTTGCTTGGGGAAACGAGTCAGGTGATCGACTGTTTATCTGCAGGTATGCGGTTAAAGATGTGTCATTGATGATGTAAAATTGTTGTCATATGGGCTGACCTGTCCATATATGGTTAACTTTCTGCAACCTGCAGTCATCTGCTTCCTTGACACGTTGACCTTCTCCGTTCATTACCAAGTCCCGGTCAATGTGGCACTTGATTGTTATTTTTTTCAGCCCATTGTTGCTACTAATTGTTGATATTTGATACTTTCTCTTGGGTTGTTTTCTTTGTTTTAAGACTAAAAATTAGGCTTACCTGATCGAGTTTTTGAGGATTTCTTAAATCCTCGATCTCACAGTATATTAAAGCACCATTAGTGTTAGTGTATGTTTTATTTGGACAATGCATATAGTATTTTAACTAATAAAGCATCAATTAACATCTATTTTTAAATTTAATTTAAAATATAAAATGTCATTTAAAAAATTTACTTTTTCATTTGAAAGATTTAAATGCATCCTATTAAAAATTTTATCCTCTGATTGTATATATTACAAATTCTATATCAATAAAATATTTTTAATTTTTGAACAGAAAAAGAAGACTTGTGGCTTTTTGGTGAAAATTTCACAATGGCCGACATTCTACTCACTATAATTTTACATCGTCTCGATTATCTCGGTCTATGGGAGAAATATTTCTCAAACGGAAAAAATCCCCATTTAATAAAATATTACAATCGTGTAAAACAGAGGGAAGCTTACAAAAAAGTGTTTTGTAGTACACCAGCTCTGCTACAGTTGCTCTGTAATGAATCTACAAAAAAAGGTTTATTGGCAGCTACTGGAGTGGCAATTGCAATTGGAGTTGCTGCCACCGGAGTAATTATTTATCAAAAATTAAAGCGTATTTAATCAGATTCTCTAAATTTAAAGGGACCAAAACATCTATTCCAATAACTGAGTCTATAAAATATCTTATGCAATACTAAATGCTTAAAATTATCCAAGAATATAATTATCAATGATTTTAGAGTGGCGGTCCCAGTATAATTTTAATTATCTATAATGTTTTGGAATAATTTTTTTTAATTTATGAAAATTTTATTGTATTTTCAGATTTTAAAAAATTCATTAGGAATTTTCAAAAATGTTAAAAAGATTAAATAAATCTTGGTTTGACATCAATGAAAAATTATGCAAAATTCAAATTTCTGTAATGGTATTTTTTATATATATATATAAATTACAGTTTAAAAGTTGTTTTATTAAATGTGTTAAAGTTTATAAGGTTTTTATGATTATTGGATGAATGTTTTATGAATTGAGAATGAATAAATATCAATGCCAAAAATGTTAATTTTCTTAAATATTTTACATGTAAAATGTTTTAATGTAATTTAGTTAAAATTTCCAAGATGAATGTCAAGAAATAATAAGTACATTTATTCATGTTGTAAATTTATGTTACAAATATATTTGTATTGACTGTTTTGTAATTTTATAATACACCCACTTGTTTCTTGAGTATTGCAATAAAAGCACGATATCAAACCAAAAAAATTTTTTTTTGCTAATTTTTATTTTAAAATATTTTTCACTATGTACAATTCTATAAAAAATTTTTTCAGGATTTCTGCTTCAATGGAATTACAAATTGCTTATTTCCACTTTTACAATATACCTTTGATACACTTACGGTCTGCCAATCTGAATAATCTTTAATGAAAGAATGAAACACCATCTACAAAAACAGAAATGACTTTAAACATATTTGATCTTAATGAAAATAAGAAATATCACTACAAAACTCTACTGTCGGCAATAATTTGTTTCTACTTTATGTAAGTACCATTCATTGCAGAGATATTCTTGATATATTTTATCTCACATAATTTTTTTTATATTTAAGTTTCTAGTACTGACTATTGAGATGTGTTTGTGAAAACTAAATTATCAAGATCACTTGTAATTAACATAAATGTGATCTGTTAAATTTCAGCTTGTATAAAAGGAANTCAAGTTATCTCTCTAATACCAGATTATTACTAACAACATGAAATGTACAGTAATAAAAACTATTAAAAGTGAACTTTATCTAATTTGAAATTAGGGAAATCCCCATACAACAGTTCAATAAACATGATAAAGCTTTTAAGTGTGAAAGATACCTAATTTGACATTTTTCATTCAAGTGCGTACATACTATCAGATTTTCCTGCATAATTTTCGTGAACTTAAGCTTGTTTCAGTGTTGCCAGATCTCGACGTTTCTGCTTTTGCCAGATGTTTTTCCCTTATTCTTCATAAGTGCTTAGCATCATATATGGTGCTAAGCACTTATGAAGAATAAGGAAAAAACATCTTTATAAATTTCTTTAATTTCATAAGATCTTTTAACTAAAAGCAAGCAATCTAAAATAACATATTTTTTGCAAAAGGTAGAACATGGATCTGAAGATATGCAGAAAAATGCTCAGAGGATAAGGATATCTTACCAAAAATAAAATGCCCTTGGTTAACAGTGCTTGTGATGACAAAGAAAACATATATTAATATGTATCACTTATTAAGAAAATTTTAATAAATAATCAAAAAATCTTACTGGAACTAAAACAAAATAATATAAATAAATAACGCCTTTTTAACGGTCCAGCAAAAACATTTAATCCTCTNGATGTTAATAATTTAAATATTATGAAAAACAATTTTCTGAAGTGAGTTTTAATTCTTAAATCAAAAAATTTTCCATAAAATTTACTTAATCTAAATTATGTAGTGAATTGCCATATTTATATTCATGTCCAGACTATATTGGCAAGTCACTCTTACGCACAAAAAATATTATAATTAATGATGATCTGAAGAAAGATGTACTTAAAGAATTATATGATTTAATATCATTAATTTTTATGGTACCATCTACCAGTGCTTCTGTTGAGTGCAGTTTTTCAACCATGAAGCGAATTGATACATTTGCAAGGAACACTCAGTCAGAGGAAAGATTGTCGTCACTAGTAAGGAAAGCAACCTTTATTAGAAAAAAGAGCTTTTAAATGGAATCGATGACAAGCAATTTTTATGATAAAGTAATTAATGACTTTGTGGAAAAAATTACTGAATAGAGTTAGTTTATAAAAAATAATAAAAACAAGTTCTTATATCTTGTTTCGTGTCAAGGTATCTATTTTAGAATTAAATGAACTATTTATTTTTGTCATTTCCAGTATTTGTTTAATTAAAATTTTTATGGAAACACAGCTTCCCTATCATCAAGTGTCATGGCACACCACTGGTAAATATATCAACAAAGTAGTGTTGCTTAATTTCTGAGATCTTTCATGGTGGTATGTGAGAGAGAAATATTGGGTTGTTCGGAAAGTAATTTTGTTTTTTTTCATGGCAAAAAAAAACAATATTTTTATAATAAATAAATATTTTANTATATTTATCTTAATTATGAAAATATAATAGCATGTTTTTTAATTTTTGGAACCTAACCCCCCTTTTTCGTACTAGTTCTTTGTTCCATATGGCACGGATTCACATAACATGGCAATTTTTTGGAACATAACTCCCATGTTATATGGGGGTTACCTGCACAACATTGTAATTAAATTTTGTTTTTCAATAAATAATATGATTCATAATTAAATTACAGCAAAAATATTCCTAGAAACAAAAAAAAATGATGTAACAAATGTTGAAATGTCACTTATGTGCAGATGATTTACTAACCATTTTCACATTGAATGAATCAAAATCAAAAGACTATTTTTTATTCTTGGAAGTCTGGTATAATTAGTCTCTTCTTTACACTTGTTATTACTTACTAGTGCCTGTGTATACCCATAATTTCCAGTATGTTAATTTTATCTGAATAAGTTAACATATTTCTAATTCAATTCAGTTTTTAAGAATACACATTTAAATGAACTTTTATCAACTTCTGTTCAAGGTTAAGACTGTTATGCAACAAAACTTAATGTATAACCTGGAAAATTACAATAAAAGAAGAACGTTTTAATATGTTAGACTGGCACCTTTGCCAATTCAGTCATTCAGGGAATCCAAGTTCAAATTAGAGTTCAAATCTGGATCAACAACCTGAGGAATTTTTCTTGCATGGCCTGTCCTTGTACAGTATATCAGATTCCTTTCTCACCACCCAGCTATTCCCATTACAGGCTGGAGAAAAAGATTTTCCAGTGCCCAGCTCACAAAAAGCAGAATGAAAAACAATTTTTTTTCATTGTAACAAAATTTGACAGCTTATAAACTTTAGTAGCTATTAAGAATGTCTAATTTTCTGTTACTTCAATTTATTAATAAAGGATTTATCAGACCGTAGTTCTTTAATTTGAAAATTGACCAAGATTTTTTATTAAACCAATATGTACATTTTGGGTTCATCAATAATCTGACCCTTCATCAGTTGCTTTTTTCTGTTAAATTTAAAATATTAAATAACAATCATACTTTTTAAATATTTAATCTGTTTTTATAAGAGATGTAGACAATTGTGTAGTTTTTTTTTTATTAATTTTTTTTACAGGTCAAACCAGAAAAAATACTTAGTTAATACTAATAGTTAATAATATAGATCAAAACATATTTGAATCTCAGATAGAAGACAAGAATCTGATAATATAAATGTTTTTGTTGAACAGTTATTCAAACAGTATATTGAATAAATGGTTACAAAAAATAATGAGCAAAAAAGAAAACAAAATTATAGAAAAATACAATATAATAGACCTATTTACAGTAAATTTCAAATTTTTTTTTTTATAAATTATAATATATATTTAATACCATAGCAGATGCAATTAATCAAAAGACAGTAAAAATAAAGAAAATATTCTGAATCAAGATAATATATACAAATTAGAATGTTTCTCCAATATATATTCTTGGGGACACGTAAAAAGAGGATGTTACAACAAGATTAAAAGAACATATAGCCTACAATCCATTAAATATAATAATGTGAATTATATACTATAGCTAAGCATTGTAACTCCCAAAGATGCAAGATTAATATAAACAAAAAACATCTTTCTTTAATAATTTTAGAATAAAAGTAAAAGTAAAAATATCATGTTGACAGTAAAAATGAAGGAATGAAATTACATCAAAATATGTCATCTAGTGTTTCAATTTATATGTTATAGTCACCAATTTTAATACTAAATAAAATTTTGAAAATAAAGTATACATAGCAAGGCAAAAAAATTTTTTTAATAATTTAATTTTAAAACAAACTATAAGGTGATTGTTACTTATAATTTTAAATAATTGTTTAAAAATTGAATGTATATTGAAAGAACATTATGTTTTAACAGAAGGAAAGTAACTGATGAACCCAAAATGTACATATTAGTTTAATAAAAAATCTTTGTCAACTTTCAAATTAAAGAACTGTGGTCTGACAAGTTCTTTGAAGTAATAAAAAAATAGTAGCTATTAAGAATATTAATAATAATGGAGAACAAAGAGCAGGTAATAATAATAATTTAGACAATTTAGTTATTGAAAATAAAAAAGTTTCTAGGATTAATTGCTCATTTATCGTAAGAACATATTTGATAATAATGCAATTTATTTTTTTAGCTGATCAACAATATAATTTAATGGTGCATAAATAACTAATAAATTATAGTTTTATCATCAAGTTATCTCTCTAATACCAGATTATTACTAATGATAAAAACAGCCAACTAACATGAGATATTCTGTAATTTAAGAACTGCAATAAATGATATTAATTATATATTTATGTATCATTGTATTTTGTAAAATTTAAATTAAACCCATATTATTATTTAGTTAAAAATATTTTTACTTATAGAATTTTATGTGTGTTTTTAAATGCTTTCAAGTCCAACTCTCCTTCAGGAAAATAAGGAAAAGCATTCTGAAACAAATTTCATTGCTATGGAGAGAAACATTCAGGTACAAAAAAACTAGAAATAGTTGTTATGATAACATTTTTGTATATTTCCAAAATTTGTGTACTTGTAATGTTAAGATACTGATCAACTATAGTTAAGAACTAGGCGTATTAGCTAGTCATAACAAGACTTGTGTAAGAAGATGGTCACAGTCCCTGCAAAGATGATTTTATATTTTACTTTACTCCTTTTAAAAATCCATAACATCTCAGCTATATAGAAATTTTATTGGAAGTTTAATTACTCTGGTAATACAGAATTTTCTTGTTTCTTACAAGAATATTGTAACATATTCAAAAATAGCTGAGATGGTGTTTTATTTTGCTATGTATTTTCTATCATTTCTAAGAGCATTAAAAATCATTGGATTTCATTTCTAAATTAATGTCTCAATGCTTCTAGCAAGGTGATATAATTGATTGGCAAGTAGAAAGTAAGAAAAATGAGCCACAAATGTCCTCTGAAGAATATGTCTAGATAGAGCAGATGGACCTGATTGTATTGTGTATCATTAACTGAAAGACAGATACTATAGGTATTGATAAATATTCTTTAGACAAACTCTTGAAGAATATTTCTTTACTGATTGAAGTAACAACAAAAACAAATTTTAAAATTTAGTGATGTATTTATTGTAGGAATGGAAAAGAACTAAATAGAAAACCAAAATATGTTTTCTTCCCTATAAACAGATTGTACTCTGTCCTCATTTGTTATTTTTGTCTTGTTATTTAAAGATTTGGCTAAATAATAATTAATTTATCAACAAAAACTTCACTCTGTTGAAGATTTCCCAAATGGGCAGGGATCCAAAGGTATTTGGAGTCTTCCCAAAAGAAAAACACATACACATCTCTTATCACAACCTAACAATAATAAATAGCAAGTGTAAAAGAATAAAAGACTTGTTCTGTTTTTTAAGCTTGTTAGTATTACTGAGTTATTATTTCTAATTTATTAATTGTACTTGATAAAACTACATAAAATGTAACAATGTTAAGAGTTATTTGAGAGAGAGATAAGTTTAATGTAAATTCAAATTTTATTAAAATTTCTTATGATTTTAATCTATTTCTCACATTGTTGAATCAAAAATTAAATATCTAATTTTTTCTAATTTGACAGAAAATAAATTAAAAGTTTGTATACACAGATTATAGTTGTAACCCATCAGCTTTTGACTGTTATGAACAGCTACTAAAAGAATTGCATTTGTAACTTTTCTTGATCAAGATTTATGAAATATGCATAATGCAATATAATTCTAATCCTTGTACCCAGTCCAAGTTATTCATTATTTTATTAATTTAAACATTAAAATGAAGTTTTGTTAACAAATATTCTACATTTTAGTATTTGATATGTTCTGCTAACCCAAAGAACTATGATGAGTAACAACATTCTTCTTAAAAGAAGAGGTATGTTTGTTTCTAAATATTTCATATACAATTTAAACTTTTTGATTCTTAAATTTCCAAACACATTAGGAACCAAAAATTTACAAATGTCTATATGGCTCATTACACAGCATTTTTCATATTTTTTTTAATTCATTGAAATTTTTCTAAATTTGATTGGAAATGATATTTTCAATATAAGTTTTTTGACCTTTTTTTATTAATATAAAAAATGGTAAATATAATCTTGTCATTTTGAATCAACATGCAGAAAGTTCACATATGATCCTTTTNTTTATTTTGTTTTCATTGGCTTCAACTGGCCATCCAGAATGTGGTGCATCTTCAATATTGAAATTGCCAGAATGAAATTTTGTAAATCAGGGGCCATATTCTGGTCACCGTCTCTCGTCTCTCACAAGCCTGTCGCTGATTGGCTAATCCAAATGATTAACCAACCAGCGACCAGCTTGTGAGAGACAAGAGACAGTGACCAGAATACGACCCCAGTTTTGGCACTGTCTTCCTCTCAACACATCTTCTCCATACATGTACTGTACCACAATTTTTTTTCTCGCTTGAACAGCATTTCGATTTTTTGGTAATAAAAAAAGCAAAATATGCTGAAAATGATGCTTTCGATTTTCCATATTTGATGGGACACTGAAAAAAAAAATTGTACAGAATCAAACAAAATTTTTTACAAATAAGCCGTTAAACGTCAAGTGTCAAAATATATAATATAATGAAAATGTGGTTTAAAATGAAATTGGCTGGTAAAAATACATCTAATTCCTCTAGTAATAAAAAAATGAAATTACTTTCCAAACAACCCAATACATTACACCTTCATCTACTTGTGTGTCTTCAATTATTTGTGTTTATCTATAATTTGAAAGTGCTAAATTAAGAGTTCCTGTTGAATATGGATTACTTTAAATTATATCATCATACTACAGTATAATGTAATCAATTTATTGATTTACAAATGAATAAAAGACAATGCAAAAGTGATAGTAAGTGCATGTAGCAAATGTGCAGTTGTATATAGTTGTCCAAATAAAACATAAATTGGGCCAACATTGTCTATTAAATAGATGATAGAACCACTATATATATATATATATATACATACATATATACACACCTTTTTGATGTCTTCTGTTGTTCATTTGGTGTGTTTAACAGTGAATCATCCAGTAAAATGTAGTGTATCTCCAAGCAGGCACATGTCATGATGTGAGAGATGAATTTCATTGGGATGTTATACCACATGCAGACATGTTAGGGGAAGCCTGGTTTGAATGCATTATTGTCTTTAGATGGTAGAGTTTCAAGGTAGATTTGAGACCATGGCAGATCTTGAAAGAGTTGAAAATCCCATCTTTCCATCACAGTAGACATGATTGGTGATGAACAATTACAGAATGTATTTGTGAATGAGCTATCCCTTGGCAGAATTCTATTGGCACGATACTCCAAACACTTGGGATATGCAAATATATGTTTGCAATGGATATGGCTCCAGGCATATAAAAGAACAAATATCACAGCAGATAAGTTTCTTGAAATAGCTTAAAAGCTGCCAACACCAAGGTCTATGGAGCTGTTGAGAAATTGTATCATAAGCAACTGGCTTTTTTACTATGCAGAGAGCATACGTAATTTAGAGTATTGAGATACCTGTCTAAATGGAGATGCTTTTTTTTAGACTGAATGAAATTCAGTCTAAAAAAAAGCATCTCCATTTAGTAATCTCCATTTCCATTTAGCATCTCCAATTAATTATTTAGTAATCTTCATTTCCATTTAGCATCTCCAATTAATTATATGTACTGTACATTCATCTACAAATACATCATGGTATTGTGAGAACCTGGGGTCAAAGGAGTGTCCCCTAATGACTGCTTAATTGGTGACAGATCGGCGAGATCCACTCATGTGGTCGTTGGATGGCAAAAAAGTAGGTAGGAGGGTCTTGCGTTTTGTCAAGTGGGGAGATCACGAATAAGTCGGTAGGTGTCTCTGCTACCAATGAATAGACAGGTACAGGTTAACGACTACAACATATATTTTATATAAAACAAAAGGATTAAATACATTAGCTGAGTACATAGTGTTTGTATACCTAGATTTGTCTATCTGCGCTTCTAACTTTATCGTGCATGTGGTGAGACTTTCACTCGAGAGAGAGAGAGTTTACAAATTTACCTCTGGTTGGTAATCTGTTCGTTTATCTTGGAAAATGTTCATGGAGAAATGGTATGACGGGCAATGTCTTTCATATAGTTCACGTCTTCAGTCCTTGTATGGCTTGTCCTGGCTATGGTCCGCCTAGGATATGGAGACTGTCAGAACTCGGCACAGTGGTGGCATATATTTCCTAGATGTCATCCAACTCCCTTTTATCGACTTTGCTTGGGGAAACGAGTCAGGTGATCGACTGTTTATCTGCAGGTATGCGGTTAAAGATGTGTCATTGATGATGTAAAATTGTTGTCATATGGGCTGACCTGTCCATATATGGTTAACTTTCTGCAACCTGCAGTCATCTGCTTCCTTGACACGTTGACCTTCTCCGTTCATTACCAAGTCCCGGTCAATGTGGCACTTGATTGTTATTTTTTTCAGCCCATTGTTGCTACTAATTGTTGATATTTGATACTTTCTCTTGGGTTGTTTTCTTTGTTTTAAGACTAAAAATTAGGCTTACCTGATCGAGTTTTTGAGGATTTCTTAAATCCTCGATCTCACAGTATATTAAAGCACCATTAGTGTTAGTGTATGTTTTATTTGGACAATGCATATAGTATTTTAACTAATAAAGCATCAATTAACATCTATTTTTAAATTTAATTTAAAATATAAAATGTCATTTAAAAAATTTACTTTTTCATTTGAAAGATTTAAATGCATCCTATTAAAAATTTTATCCTCTGATTGTATATATTACAAATTCTATATCAATAAAATATTTTTAATTTTTGAACAGAAAAAGAAGACTTGTGGCTTTTTGGTGAAAATTTCACAATGGCCGACATTCTACTCACTATAATTTTACATCGTCTCGATTATCTCGGTCTATGGGAGAAATATTTCTCAAACGGAAAAAATCCCCATTTAATAAAATATTACAATCGTGTAAAACAGAGGGAAGCTTACAAAAAAGTGTTTTGTAGTACACCAGCTCTGCTACAGTTGCTCTGTAATGAATCTACAAAAAAAGGTTTATTGGCAGCTACTGGAGTGGCAATTGCAATTGGAGTTGCTGCCACCGGAGTAATTATTTATCAAAAATTAAAGCGTATTTAATCAGATTCTCTAAATTTAAAGGGACCAAAACATCTATTCCAATAACTGAGTCTATAAAATATCTTATGCAATACTAAATGCTTAAAATTATCCAAGAATATAATTATCAATGATTTTAGAGTGGCGGTCCCAGTATAATTTTAATTATCTATAATGTTTTGGAATAATTTTTTTTAATTTATGAAAATTTTATTGTATTTTCAGATTTTAAAAAATTCATTAGGAATTTTCAAAAATGTTAAAAAGATTAAATAAATCTTGGTTTGACATCAATGAAAAATTATGCAAAATTCAAATTTCTGTAATGGTATTTTTTATATATATATATAAATTACAGTTTAAAAGTTGTTTTATTAAATGTGTTAAAGTTTATAAGGTTTTTATGATTATTGGATGAATGTTTTATGAATTGAGAATGAATAAATATCAATGCCAAAAATGTTAATTTTCTTAAATATTTTACATGTAAAATGTTTTAATGTAATTTAGTTAAAATTTCCAAGATGAATGTCAAGAAATAATAAGTACATTTATTCATGTTGTAAATTTATGTTACAAATATATTTGTATTGACTGTTTTGTAATTTTATAATACACCCACTTGTTTCTTGAGTATTGCAATAAAAGCACGATATCAAACCAAAAAAATTTTTTTTTGCTAATTTTTATTTTAAAATATTTTTCACTATGTACAATTCTATAAAAAATTTTTTCAGGATTTCTGCTTCAATGGAATTACAAATTGCTTATTTCCACTTTTACAATATACCTTTGATACACTTACGGTCTGCCAATCTGAATAATCTTTAATGAAAGAATGAAACACCATCTACAAAAACAGAAATGACTTTAAACATATTTGATCTTAATGAAAATAAGAAATATCACTACAAAACTCTACTGTCGGCAATAATTTGTTTCTACTTTATGTAAGTACCATTCATTGCAGAGATATTCTTGATATATTTTATCTCACATAATTTTTTTTATATTTAAGTTTCTAGTACTGACTATTGAGATGTGTTTGTGAAAACTAAATTATCAAGATCACTTGTAATTAACATAAATGTGATCTGTTAAATTTCAGCTTGTATAAAAGGAAAATAATTTCTACATAATCAAGCAATGTTTATTGAATTAATTTTTTTTCATTTTCTTAAATAAAAAATAAAGTGAATAAGAATGACAAATCTATATTCCTATTAGGTGAGGCAAAAAATAATGGTGCCTAGGATTTTCTCTCTAACAAGTTGATTAATTTTTACAAATTAATTTTACAATCTTTCTAGTTTAATAATTGAAAAAGTAATAAAAACATTTTACTATATTTAATCTGTCAATACAGTGGTACCTCAGGATACGACATGAAATTCGAACATATTTTTGCTCCACGATACGAACAAAAACTCACCATATGATGTTACATTAGTTCACTGCGCCATTTTTTATTCACTTCTGTTCATTAGTCTCAGTCCGTGTGTTTGCTTCGTTGTGGAAGGATCTCGCTCAATAAAGGCAATCTCAAGGTATCAGAAAGTGACTGATTTTATTGAAAAGAAACATCCCGAAAAGGTTCACACTGGCCGTATTGCTGCTCGGAGTAATGGCATTTGCCTAAGTAATTTTAGAAACATTTTAAAAAGTAGGCAAAGTCAAACCTCTTTGGATAGATATTTTAACAAGCGACCTCTTTCCAGTGAAAGTGCTGGCGAAAGTGAAGGAAAGAAAGCAAAAAGCAGTGAATAAAAATTTAAAATATATACATGTAAAACAACACTAATTTTTTAAAATCTTTTCTAAGTTATTTTTAAGTTATTGTTACATTATGTTATGTAAGTTAAGTTTTAGTATCATTTCCCTTCTCCCTCTCTTCCCCCACCAATTTACACCTCCACCGTCCTCTATCCTCAAAGATAAAGTGCAAATAAAACATTTTTTTTAATCAATTATTATTCTATTATGGTTATTTATACATTTACAACTACAAAATGCATTTTTAGTGTTTTCCTTACTACAGTTATTATTTTTTAATGTACTACTTAGCTTTAATTTGAGAGTGTTTTTTGTGTTGGAATGAATTATTTGGTTTTACATGTAATCGTATGGGGAAAAATGATTCACCTTACGACCTCAGTTTCAGAACGGATTAATTTCGTATCCTGAGGTACCACTGTACAAAACAAAGAATTGCAATTAGATGATATCAGCTATTGAAAAAAATGAATAACTATACAGTATATATACAGCATTTAGGAAAAGTGTTTTCTATAATTTTAATTCAGAAAAAAATTTGTATTAAATTTTTCATTAAAAATAGTTCTACTGGTAACATTTTAGGAGTCTTCTGATATTTGATCTTTGATGATTTTAGAATATATGTGTGATATCGAATTTACTTTTCATCAAAGTACAATTTAGAATTACAATAATTTTCATTTGAAGTAATTCTATTTTCTTTCTAAAATATGCATGAGGATTAAAAAATACAAGTGGCAATATTTTTAAAGCATGATCTATTAATAAAATTGTATAAATAATAAATTATTAAATACAGGTAACTCCTATATAATACAGCACTTCTATAGCACGGATTCACTCTAACATGGTCCGAGAATTGGGTAAAACCCTCGTACAACATGAAATGTACAGTAATAAAAACTATTAAAAGTGAACTTTATCTAATTTGAAATTAGGGAAATCCCCATACAACAGTTCAATAAACATGATAAAGCTTTTAAGTGTGAAAGATACCTAATTTGACATTTTTCATTCAAGTGCGTACATACTATCAGATTTTCCTGCATAATTTTCGTGAACTTAAGCTTGTTTCAGTGTTGCCAGATCGACGTTTCTGCTTTTGCCAGATGTTTTTCCCTTATTCTTCATAAGTGCTTAGCATCATATATGGTGCTAAGCACTTATGAAGAATAAGGGAAAAACATCTTTATAAATTTCTTTAATTTCATAAGATCTTTTAACTAAAAGCAAGCAATCTAAAATAACATATTTTTTGCAAAAGGTAGAACATGGATCTGAAGATATGCAGAAAAATGCTCAGAGGATAAGGATATCTTACCAAAAATAAAATGCCCTTGGTTAACAGTGCTTGTGATGACAAAGAAAACATATATTAATATGTATCACTTATTAAGAAAATTTTAATAAATAATCAAAAAATCTTACTGGAACTAAAACAAAATAATATAAATAAATAACGCCTTTTTAACGGTCCAGCAAAAACATTTAATCCTCTATTAATCGGTCTAAAATGCTCTTAGAGGATTAAATGTTTTTGATGGACTGTTAAAAAGGCGTTTATTTCATTTTATTAAAGTTATATAAAAGATATTTATCTTAATTATGAAAATATAATAGCATGTTTTTTAATTTTTGGAACCTAACCCCCCTTTTTCGTACTAGTTCTTTGTTCCATATGGCACGGATTCACATAACATGGCAATTTTTTGGAACATAACTCCCATGTTATATGGGGGTTACCTGCACAACATTGTAATTAAATTTTGTTTTTCAATAAATAATATGATTCATAATTAAATTACAGCAAAAATATTCCTAGAAACAAAAAAAAATGATGTAACAAATGTTGAAATGTCACTTATGTGCAGATGATTTACTAACCATTTTCACATTGAATGAATCAAAATCAAAAGACTATTTTTTATTCTTGGAAGTCTGGTATAATTAGTCTCTTCTTTACACTTGTTATTACTTACTAGTGCCTGTGTATACCCATAATTTCCAGTATGTTAATTTTATCTGAATAAGTTAACATATTTCTAATTCAATTCAGTTTTTAAGAATACACATTTAAATGAACTTTTATCAACTTCTGTTCAAGGTTAAGACTGTTATGCAACAAAACTTAATGTATAACCTGGAAAATTACAATAAAAGAAGAACGTTTTAATATGTTAGACTGGCACCTTTGCCAATTCAGTCATTCAGGGAATCCAAGTTCAAATTAGAGTTCAAATCTGGATCAACAACCTGAGGAATTTTTCTTGCATGGCCTGTCCTTGTACAGTATATCAGATTCCTTTCTCACCACCCAGCTATTCCCATTACAGGCTGGAGAAAAAGATTTTCCAGTGCCCAGCTCACAAAAAGCAGAATGAAAAACAATTTTTTTTCATTGTAACAAAATTTGACAGCTTATAAACTTTAGTAGCTATTAAGAATGTCTAATTTTCTGTTACTTCAATTTATTAATAAAGGATTTATCAGACCGTAGTTCTTTAATTTGAAAATTGACCAAGATTTTTTATTAAACCAATATGTACATTTTGGGTTCATCAATAATCTGACCCTTCATCAGTTGCTTTTTTCTGTTAAATTTAAAATATTAAATAACAATCATACTTTTTAAATATTTAATCTGTTTTTATAAGAGATGTAGACAATTGTGTAGTTTTTTTTTTATTAATTTTTTTTACAGGTCAAACCAGAAAAAATACTTAGTTAATACTAATAGTTAATAATATAGATCAAAACATATTTGAATCTCAGATAGAAGACAAGAATCTGATAATATAAATGTTTTTGTTGAACAGTTATTCAAACAGTATATTGAATAAATGGTTACAAAAAATAATGAGCAAAAAAGAAAACAAAATTATAGAAAAATACAATATAATAGACCTATTTACAGTAAATTTCAAATTTTTTTTTTTATAAATTATAATATATATTTAATACCATAGCAGATGCAATTAATCAAAAGACAGTAAAAATAAAGAAAATATTCTGAATCAAGATAATATATACAAATTAGAATGTTTCTCCAATATATATTCTTGGGGACACGTAAAAAGAGGATGTTACAACAAGATTAAAAGAACATATAGCCTACAATCCATTAAATATAATAATGTGAATTATATACTATAGCTAAGCATTGTAACTCCCAAAGATGCAAGATTAATATAAACAAAAAACATCTTTCTTTAATAATTTTAGAATAAAAGTAAAAGTAAAAATATCATGTTGACAGTAAAAATGAAGGAATGAAATTACATCAAAATATGTCATCTAGTGTTTCAATTTATATGTTATAGTCACCAATTTTAATACTAAATAAAATTTTGAAAATAAAGTATACATAGCAAGGCAAAAAAATTTTTTTAATAATTTAATTTTAAAACAAACTATAAGGTGATTGTTACTTATAATTTTAAATAATTGTTTAAAAATTGAATGTATATTGAAAGAACATTATGTTTTAACAGAAGGAAAGTAACTGATGAACCCAAAATGTACATATTAGTTTAATAAAAAATCTTTGTCAACTTTCAAATTAAAGAACTGTGGTCTGACAAGTTCTTTGAAGTAATAAAAAAATAGTAGCTATTAAGAATATTAATAATAATGGAGAACAAAGAGCAGGTAATAATAATAATTTAGACAATTTAGTTATTGAAAATAAAAAAGTTTCTAGGATTAATTGCTCATTTATCGTAAGAACATATTTGATAATAATGCAATTTATTTTTTTAGCTGATCAACAATATAATTTAATGGTGCATAAATAACTAATAAATTATAGTTTTATCATCAAGTTATCTCTCTAATACCAGATTATTACTAATGATAAAAACAGCCAACTAACATGAGATATTCTGTAATTTAAGAACTGCAATAAATGATATTAATTATATATTTATGTATCATTGTATTTTGTAAAATTTAAATTAAACCCATATTATTATTTAGTTAAAAATATTTTTACTTATAGAATTTTATGTGTGTTTTTAAATGCTTTCAAGTCCAACTCTCCTTCAGGAAAATAAGGAAAAGCATTCTGAAACAAATTTCATTGCTATGGAGAGAAACATTCAGGTACAAAAAAACTAGAAATAGTTGTTATGATAACATTTTTGTATATTTCCAAAATTTGTGTACTTGTAATGTTAAGATACTGATCAACTATAGTTAAGAACTAGGCGTATTAGCTAGTCATAACAAGACTTGTGTAAGAAGATGGTCACAGTCCCTGCAAAGATGATTTTATATTTTACTTTACTCCTTTTAAAAATCCATAACATCTCAGCTATATAGAAATTTTATTGGAAGTTTAATTACTCTGGTAATACAGAATTTTCTTGTTTCTTACAAGAATATTGTAACATATTCAAAAATAGCTGAGATGGTGTTTTATTTTGCTATGTATTTTCTATCATTTCTAAGAGCATTAAAAATCATTGGATTTCATTTCTAAATTAATGTCTCAATGCTTCTAGCAAGGTGATATAATTGATTGGCAAGTAGAAAGTAAGAAAAATGAGCCACAAATGTCCTCTGAAGAATATGTCTAGATAGAGCAGATGGACCTGATTGTATTGTGTATCATTAACTGAAAGACAGATACTATAGGTATTGATAAATATTCTTTAGACAAACTCTTGAAGAATATTTCTTTACTGATTGAAGTAACAACAAAAACAAATTTTAAAATTTAGTGATGTATTTATTGTAGGAATGGAAAAGAACTAAATAGAAAACCAAAATATGTTTTCTTCCCTATAAACAGATTGTACTCTGTCCTCATTTGTTATTTTTGTCTTGTTATTTAAAGATTTGGCTAAATAATAATTAATTTATCAACAAAAACTTCACTCTGTTGAAGATTTCCCAAATGGGCAGGGATCCAAAGGTATTTGGAGTCTTCCCAAAAGAAAAACACATACACATCTCTTATCACAACCTAACAATAATAAATAGCAAGTGTAAAAGAATAAAAGACTTGTTCTGTTTTTTAAGCTTGTTAGTATTACTGAGTTATTATTTCTAATTTATTAATTGTACTTGATAAAACTACATAAAATGTAACAATGTTAAGAGTTATTTGAGAGAGAGATAAGTTTAATGTAAATTCAAATTTTATTAAAATTTCTTATGATTTTAATCTATTTCTCACATTGTTGAATCAAAAATTAAATATCTAATTTTTTCTAATTTGACAGAAAATAAATTAAAAGTTTGTATACACAGATTATAGTTGTAACCCATCAGCTTTTGACTGTTATGAACAGCTACTAAAAGAATTGCATTTGTAACTTTTCTTGATCAAGATTTATGAAATATGCATAATGCAATATAATTCTAATCCTTGTACCCAGTCCAAGTTATTCATTATTTTATTAATTTAAACATTAAAATGAAGTTTTGTTAACAAATATTCTACATTTTAGTATTTGATATGTTCTGCTAACCCAAAGAACTATGATGAGTAACAACATTCTTCTTAAAAGAAGAGGTATGTTTGTTTCTAAATATTTCATATACAATTTAAACTTTTTGATTCTTAAATTTCCAAACACATTAGGAACCAAAAATTTACAAATGTCTATATGGCTCATTACACAGCATTTTTCATATTTTTTTTAATTCATTGAAATTTTTCTAAATTTGATTGGAAATGATATTTTCAATATAAGTTTTTTGACCTTTTTTTATTAATATAAAAAATGGTAAATATAATCTTGTCATTTTGAATCAACATGCAGAAAGTTCACATATGATCCTTTTTTAAAATTTCATATTAATTTATTTGGAATACTCTTCCTTAATTTTCTTATGATTGGTAAATTAAATATCAGATTAGCTAAAGACAATTTTACGTATGAATACTTTCTAAATAGTTAAAATAAAAACTAAATTATAAAAATTACCTCTAAATCCACTAGAACTTCTAATAATTTCTGTTCCATGTTTCCTAAACACCAAGCAATACTGACATGAAAGGAAGGATTCTATAAAAAGAAATTAATATTTATTATATTATAAATATGTTAACAGTTAATCTTTATTAAATTTGTTTGACATTTAGTCAAATTAAATTAAATATAGTAGGCCTTACTTTAATTGACAAAAAATTTCTATCCTATAGAAAAAATTTAAATCCTTTTCTATTCATGAATAGAGAGAGTTTGCTGAAAGATTGGATCAATGAGTCAATCATTATAATATTCATTGAGTAATTTATACATTTTAACACATCTTGTGCATTTTAAGTTGTTTATTAATATATATTTTTAAACATATTCAATTTAATGGAATTTTGACAATAGCAGGCACTCCTTTCCTCAATTGTCCATTAAATCAAGGGCCTATGTATTATAAAAATCTTAGGAAAAAGTTCCTTGTTTTAGAAGTTGATAGAAGTTTGTTTCTCTAATGAAATAAGAAAATTTGTTTTTCTCATTAGTTACAGAACTATTTAAATAATTTCTTATTAAAAAATATAATTTCTAAAAATAAAAGATTATCTTTAGATAAGATAAATGAGTAAAATAAACACTCTTTCTTAAACCGATTTCGAGTAATTTGTATTAGCAGACAAATAATTAACAAAGATACTGTACTTCAGCCAACATTATTTCTTTTATTACTTTCAAATTTCTCAAAAAACTCTCCAAATGCATTTTGCCGTTACAGCCTCATCGGTGGATCATCCAACAGCAAGCAACTCTTTCCTTTTTATACAAATAAATCTTTATTAAATTCTACTAGACAGCATTTTTATTATTTTAATCTTAATATTTTAACATTAAAAGACAAATATTTACATTGTAATTTTAATACACGATATGCAACAGAGTTTACATCAATATTTGGGACTCTCTGACATCAATCATAGTAACAATAATGATTGTTACTATGATTGATGAAAAGGCAGATTGTGCCTCTACTGAAGAGAGACTGGCTAGAACTCTGATCCAGAAATGCATTTAAATAAAATATCTGGGAATAAAACCATCTTTTGAGTAATTCTTGAACTTGAGTTAACATCGGATTTGAAGGAATTTCAGTTTATTTGTCCAAAAACCCCTTTTAAGTAGTTATAAAAGTGAACGATTATATCTGGCAAATATTGCTAGTTTTAGCTTCATACTAAAGGTAAAACTTGCAATCTTGAAAATTATTTGTATTCAAATTTTACAAATAGTGCAAATAACTATATATAAATTGTAGCTTGTTTTAAACATCTCTGATAATCCAAGTTGATTAACAAACAAAAATACTGCATTATGTTTAACTAAATATTTATTTATAAATAGTAATCAGAACTTTGAGCATATATAATTCTGGAAATGAAAGTTGACATAATACATATTGAGTTTTAGTCATCAATATTTTTTATATAAGTTTAATTTAATCGAAAATAGTGTAAAATTCCATTTCAGTTTCTGTGAAAACTCTGGTTTCAATTAGACTTTACTTATCTGTGAAAAATGTAATGATACCAGATCCTATACCTGAGAAAAAATATCAAGAACTAAAGTACTGATATGGATATCAATATCCAGCAGTATCATGACATCTCTAATTGCTACTATAACTGTAAACTTCATGCCATACTACTCTACTGGTTGTGAATCATCAGTTCCTGCAAATAAGCATATCCATGCAATTGTGGTTTATAATTTTTAGTTTATTTAAATAAAACTGAAAATAACAGGGGGCACTGTAGTCAGCCAAGCATTCTGGTGAAGTTTGCTAGTGACTTTCTGGAAAGTTAAAAATTATGGAAAATATTGCTTTTTCTTTGGTTATATCATTATTTCTGTTGATTCTCAGTGGTATAGAGAAAACCCTGGTTTTCTATCCTATACTCCTAATTCACGAGTTCAGTTTCCTAACATTAAGAATCATTAATGTCATTCTCCTAGTGAACTTCCGTTGAAAATTGTAAGATTGGACGATTTTTTTCCTGCTAAGTCAGAATCAAATAAGTCTATTCCTAATGAAATACTTTCATATTTAGATGAAATTTTTGATACAGTTCTTAATGCTTTAAGTGAGATGTCTGCTAGAATCAATTGGCTTGTTAATCTACATAATAAAAGTGATGAAAGGTTAATTATGATTGAAACTAAATTGGAGGAAATTTTTAAGTTCAAGCAGGAATCCCAAAGTAAGGATAGTTTACTTTTGCATAATGTTATTTCACTGGCAAATGAATTACAGAGGAAAAATAGTAATTCAGGTCTGATGGAGAGATGCTTACAGTAATAATGGGGAACCTAGGACTATTTTAACAGCATGGATAACAAAGCTTTATAAGTCAAATAATATTCTGGTTAAGCTATCATCATTGTCAGATAAAAATATAATTTTTAGTAGAACAAACAATCTAAAAAATCATGAAAAATTTGCAAAAATTAAGATCTTTGATGACCTGTGTTGGATTTCTAGACTAAGATGCAAGAAATTATTACCTTTCTATCATCAATATAAGTCAGAAAAGAGGAAAGTTTGTCTAATAGACGTTTTGAGAGTCGATTCTGAAAAGTTTACTATGAGTTAGAAATGAGGTTATGAATCTTAATTTTTTGTTTCCAACTTTTAACATCGGACCTCAAAGTTCCACTTAAAATTTAATCAAAACTTTCACAAGCTAAAGGTAAAAATTGTGGCATGGAACTACCAAGGAACTTTTTTAATTTAATTTAAATAATAGAAAATTTGTTGATTATTTTCTGCAGTTTTCAATTTTGGGCCTGATGGAGACATGGTTTACTTTTTCAGTTAAAACAAAAATAAATAAGGTATTTGAAACAATGAGGTATTTGAAAAGCTGGCAACAAATGCTTAAGGTTGAGGAAGACCATCAGGAAATCATCTTTGTATTAGTGAGAATTTAGGAGATGCGATTTTGCTGAAGACAATGCAATATTTTATTGTTACAAGACTGATTTTTGATCAAAAGTAGTTCAGCAATTCTCGAAATCAATTTATTATTTTATAATATCTGCATATACCTGTTTTTAATAACATATTGGCTGATGTGGAAGATTTAATTTCTAGTTATTCTGTTGATCATGATGATCTATTATTAGACAATTCAAATGACAGAATTGGCACGAAAATGGACATTTTTCACAAGATTATTATTTTGAATACACGATTATCAAAAGATTTGGTTTACAATAAGCAGGGTGACCAGTTTATTGAATTGGTTAAAGACTAATTTATATATAATAAATGGTCGTTGCACTCATGACTCCCCAGCTAATTTTACATACATATCCAAATTGGGAGCATCAGTGATAGACTTATCAGTATTGAGTGAGGATCTAATTGAGCATCTTGAGGATTTTTGTTTCTGAGCACTACATGTTGGATTATCTTTTGGTAGTACAGTAGAACCTCGATGATCTGGACTAATTGCGGATGAAGGTAGTCCGGATAAGGAAAAATTCGGATAATCGAAACAAATACTTTAATTTGTCTTTTACTGATAATACAACACGTTTTCTTTTCAATGACATATCGATAATATTAAAAATAAATACTGTATTTAAATCATGATCAAATTTTCAAGAAACAAATGTTTGTATTGAATTTGGACTACTACTGACCAGTGCTAACAGACTACCTATTGTTTAAAAGGCCCTCTGGTGGCACAAGAAAATGGATTTTATAAAATAAAAAGCAGTTGAAACTGCATTTTTATGAATAAAAATTTGACAAACTATTTATCGTTTTATGATGAGTAAAATTTTTTTGCCGCATTGTGGTTTTAAGTAATGCATAAACCTTCGAGGCGCGAGGCCATTCGGACCGCGAGGCATAGGCGGTGGCCCACGTCGTCCATGCCTTATGCCGCCCTTGGTCATAGAAATGATGTAACTTGAATATAAATTATTTATAAATATGTATGCCAAGTTGTATTTTTATTACGACATAAAATATATTTAAGAGTTTACGACCACTGGGTGAGACATTGTTGGAACAAAAAAAGTTATGCATTCCATCACGTACATAAACAGTGTCGTGATTCACCAAGTGCAAATCAACAAATTCATAAAATTTTTGTTTATTTTGAACAATCCGGATAATCGAAAATCCGGATAATCAAGGTTCTACTGTACTAGAATAGCATCACTCTTCCTTGATAGCACAAGGAAAAGTAATACTAATCAAAGAGAACAACAGGAAATGTTGACTTGGAAAGAAGAAGTAAACTTGTTTACTCAAGCAGTTAACAACTTGTATACAACTGTAAAGCCTATTGACAATATAAAATTAACTTCTTCATTAATTATTACTTTAATTTGGAAATCTGCTAGGCAATATGGATTAGTGACAAAATTTGGAATAACAGGTAGAGTTGAGTTTGCATGGTTTGATAGAGACTGTAAAATTGCAAAAAAAAGAAAAAGAGCATTGCAATGAGTTTCACATATTTCACTCGAATGAGAATTTGGTTAAATATATTAATTATAAAATTAGTTTTCATTCACTATATAGAACCAAGAAGAATAAATATTGGACTAATATAAATAAACAATTGCAAACTGCAAGATTGTCAAAAAACTTTTGGAAAATTATAAATAATGTGTATGTCAAGCAGACTGCAGAGAGTCAGATTTCTACTGATGAAGTGATAAGTTTTTTTTTAAATTGAATTTTAATAACAGCAGTCTCGGTGTCTTGCCAACTATGAATTATGATAATTCTTTTTCTGTTTTGGATGATCCTTTCTCATTTGACAAACTAAAAATGGCAATTCAAAGATTGAAAAGGGGTTCATCTGGTACAGTGGAGTGAGAAACGAATTTATTCAATCATTGCCAAGAATGATCTGCTTAGAAATTCTTAGTTTGTTTAGTAAAATCAAAGAGGCAGTAGCTTTTCCAGAGATATGAAAGAAAGCTTTATTAAAATGATTTACAAGAGGGGTGAAAGATCTAATTACATGTAATTATCATCCAATAGCATTGTAAAACACATTTAGAAAACTGTTTACTAGTTTATTATCAAATCAATTAATAAAATGTTTACATGAGCATAATGCTATCTCAATGTTTCAAGGTGCCTTTGTTCAGGGTAGGAGGAATATTTACAATACCTTCATTCTTAATGGGTTAATTCAATATGTGTTATCAAGAAAAAGAAGGAAAATTTATTGACTTAAAAAAGACATTTGGTAATGTTACCTCAATGCATTGTGGAGAAAACTTTATAATGGGGGACTCTCCAGATCCTTCATTATTTTGCTTAGGAATTTGTTTTCTGTTACTAGTTATCAGAAAAAAGAAACGGTTAATTCTACTTGCATAACATCTACTAGAGGTTTACCCCAGGGAGAAACACTAAGCCCTTTGTTGTTTAATCTATATATATATAACCCATTCAACAGGTGTCCGTCTGTCCCGTAACCGTTTGGTAACGGACACTAGAGGTGCCCCTATCGTGTGTCATATTTCAAACATTCAAATTAACAATTTTAATTCTTATTTAAATTAACAATATAAATTTTTATTATTCATTTGGCCAATAAATTATTTGGTCAATATAAGAATATAAATAATTCAGTATATTTGTAATAGGAAATTATTTCAGGGGCTTATATCTCTCAAAGGGTCGCGAGTAGTGGTATGGTTCCTTTGACTTTATTGTTAGTACAGGAGTCTATGGTTTGGGGGGGTCGCCACCTCTTCATTCGGAGGGTAAATCTTACCATTCGGATTTTAACAGAGCTGTAGAGCATATTGATAGGAACAAAAAAGTCAAAGGAACCGTGCCTCATGGAAATTTGTAAAGAACATCCACTAGGGGACGTCCCAGGCTACTAGTTTGTTTATAAATGATCTTCCAGAGATATTTCATTGTTCTGATCTTTCTGGTTTCTAACTAAATGTCATGGACAAGTTGCATTGTCTTCTATAGCAGACTCAAAGTCATCTTAACAGAAGAAACTGATCTTATTATCTGATTACACAATGAGAAATAATCTTTCTATTAATTTTCAGAAAACAAAAAGGTGTTTCATAATAGAGGAAGCCTTCATAAAACTGATAGCATTTTTATTAAGAATATATTATGAATATAGAAAGATATACTAACAGAAGATATGTAAAATGAAGAACTCTATTAAAGCAATGTTTAAACTTTTTAATGCCATATTAAAGTTTAAACTGACATACTTAATTCCAGTTTGGGGTTTGGATTTTATTGAGAAAATTGAGAAAGTGAAATTAAGATATTTAAAAAGATTATTTAAGTTCAAACGTTCAGTGTCTGGTTCTGTTGTAAGATTGAAATTAGGGAGACCCCTGCTTAAAATTAATATCTTAAAAAATATTTTGTTGTTTTGGTCTAAGATTATTGATCTTCATCATCACAATCTTCATTATTGTGTTTATAATTCTGTATTGAAAAAAGGAAATTTAATATAGAAATTGAAATTGGGCTTTTTCAATTAAAAATATCTTTGATACTTTAGGCCATTCCTTTGTTTTTTCAAAGGAATGGCTTAAAGTATCATTCACAATTACAATTGAGAACTTATTTGTGTGATTTAATACAAACTAAATTATCAATTATGGAATCAAGATATAATTTATTCTTCAGTTCAACAACATAATATTTATGAAAGAAGTACAGATTGGCAGTCTGCCAATTACTTAAATTATAACATTGGATTTCCTATGAAGAGTTTGTTAATGCAATTACATCTTAATAAATGCCAAATTATGCTGGGTGCTCAGTCAGTATATAGATATTTCTCATGGGTATTCTTGCTCATATTGTACTACCAATCAGGATTATATATTAGCACACATTTTTGTGTCAGGCCCAGCCTTACATTTGTTAAAGAGAGAGATTCTCTCTCTCTCTGATGGGTTTTTAAAGATTATTTATATGATAGAAATATGTCAAAGACAATATTATATAAATTGTTTACCTTTTTTGTTAAATATTTATATTATTTGTATTAATTGTATTGTTTAAGTACAATTAAGAGACCATTATGTGGCTGTTTATTTTATAAATGTTGTTTAATTTTTCTCTCTTGTATGGAGTACTTGTACACACTTGCCCCTGATGCTTTGCCTGCAAGGTTCTCCATACAATCTTCTAAGGCATGCTTCTTTTCGGAAATATTGTTTATATCAACACATTAACATTAAATTAAACAGCTGTTGATATCACTTTCATAACTTTTGTATAATGCAGAATGATTTTCTGGATTGCATTGTTTTTGACAATAAGTTGTAAATTAACTACTACAGTCAACAACAAAAGTAAATTTCAACTCCACAGAGATGTGGAGATGATGTCCAACAGCAGCAAATTTGATATAATGAACAACCCAGACCTCAATTGAATATCAATGTTAACTTTGAATAGAATTATTTGAAGCAATATTTCTTTCTAGTTTGTTAAAAACTTAGATTTAAAGAAATATATTAGGATAAATATATGAAAAAACTTAATTTTTCTTCCAGTAAATACATGTATATTGTATTCCTTTGAACATACACACCTATTACTATACATGTGACTTTTTCTAAAGTGAAAAATATCAATTCTATTAGTTCAGTTATGTTGAAAGGAGGTTGTAATTAAGCCTGTCAACCTCAATGTAAGTGACCATAAGTAGTAGTGTTTGGGCAGCTTTGATCACAAAATTAATTGTTAAAATTAAAATTACAAATAATTTTAAAATTTAAATTAAGTAAATTTTTCAGATCACAAATAAATTATTAATATTTACTTTTCATAATACTTGAATTAATTATATAAGAAATGTGATTGGACAGTTTTTGAGATAAATTAAATTTTAAGATATGTTAGAATTTATTTTAACGCCAGGATCAGTCGTGGAAGTATATGGTTTTATTATTACCTATGACAGCGACAGAAATTATTCTGTTTGTCCTCGTTTGTACAAGTCTTTGGATAGCTGTATTGCTGCAGTAAATAATTTTTCTTTTGCTATTCCTGATAATTTTCCTATTGTTTTGCGTTTAAAAATGTCATAGGTAATAATAAAACCATATACAGTAGAACCTCGATTATCCGGACTAATTGGGGATGAAGTTAGTCCGGATAAGGAAAAATCCGGATAATCGAAATAAATACTTTAATTTGTCTTTTAATGATAATACAACACGTTTTCTTTTCGATGACATATCGGTAATATTAAAAGCGAATACTGTATTTAAATCGTGATCAAATTTTCAAGAAACAAACGTTCGTATTGAATTTGGACTACTACTGACCAACTCTAACAGACTACCTATTGATTAAGGCCCTCTGGTGGCGCAAGAAGACGGATTTTATAAAATAAAAAGCAGTTGAAACTGCATTTTTATGAATAAAAATTTGACAAACTATTTATTGTTTTATGACGAGTAAAATTTTTTCGTCGCGTTCACGGCTTTTAAGTAATGCATAAACCTTCAAGGCGCGAGGCCCTTCGGACCGTGAGGCATAGGCGGTGGCCCACATTGTCCATGCCTTACACCGCCCTTGGTCATAGAAATGATGTAATTTGAATATAAATTATTTATAAATACGTATGTCAAGTTATATTTTTATTACTACGTAAAATATATTTAAGAGTTTACAACCACTGTGCTGGGTGAGACGTTGTTGAAACAAAAAATGCTATGCATTCCATCACCTACATAAACAGTGTCGTAATTCGCCAAGTGCAAATCAGCAAAATCGTAAAATTTTTGTTTATTTTGAACAATCCGGATAATCGAAAATCCGGATAATGGAGGTTCTACTGTACTTCCACGACTGATCCTGGCGTTAAAATAAATTCTAACATATCTTAAAATTTAATTTATCTCAAAAACTGTCCAATCACATTTCTTATATAATTAATTCAAGTATTATGAAAAGTAAATATTAATAATTTATTTGTGATCTGAAAAATTTACTTAATTTAAATTTAAAATTTATTTGTAATTTTAATTTTAAAAATTAATTTTGTGATCAAAGCTGACCAAACCACTACTACTACCATCATGAACTTGAAAAAATTAGTAGAGATTGAATCAATGCATCTGTTGATTACTTCTTGTGTGCTGTTGTTTTATCCATGAAATGTAATATTAATAGCTAATATGTATTTAATTTTGTAATAATATGATTTTTGTTTGCTATAATCTTTTCCATAGGTAATATTCATTTCAATTATTTAAATTGGAAGATTCATTTTAAACAAAATATGCTTACCTTATAAAATGGAAGAAGCTTATAATCTTCAAGACACTTATCAACTTTCTGAACAATCTTGACCATATTATCAATTCCAGTGTGAACTTTGAATCCAAGAAATGTCCTACACATTGATTACATTTAAAAAAAATCATTTTACTTGATTATTTAAACTTATTTAGAGGAAATTAGTGCAAATTATTACCTTGTATTTTCTTCATTGGTATACACTTCAACAGATTTCAGTACCAATTTGAAGCTGTAACAAATTATCTAAATCAAAGTACATTCAAAACGTTATTTTTCTTACATTATTATTTAAAATATTTTTAAGATCCTTTGTTCATTTCTCTATCAGATTATAAAAATTTTACTTCATAATTTGATAAAATTGAATAAAAGCAAGATCCAGTGGGAGAATCTCTATACTCACAAAACATGCTTTTATCCCATTTTGATCACACGAAACCTAACTAATATAAAAATGTAGTGGAAACATCAATTGAATCAATTATAAGTAAATAATATGTTAAGTTAAACATGATAAATTTAGAATTACTTTAAATAATAAATCTAATTCTTTGATAATAATTTCAAGTGATTTTTAAAATAAAGTTGATTCAATACCAGTATGTATTTATCAAACTGATTTTCAATGATTCAATTAAAGGCTGAATCCAATGATGTCTGAGCTTCACTGTTCTTGATAAACTGATATGTAAATCTGATATTGCTTCCATTTTTATTCCATACTTTTCTGTAACTTTAAGCATTTCTTGTATTAGACTGTTATGTAATGGATATTTATCTAAAGTAAAAATATATATGTAAATATTTCTAATATAAAATATAATTTAGTAAAAAATTTTTAACATTGGAAAAATTATATCCAATCATTCTTACATTTAATAAAGAAGTATGTTGCCCAAACACCACGCTCATGAGGAAAAGATCTTATTCTTCCACAATGTTTTGTTTTTTCATCATCCATATTATCTTCAGAAATATCTTCAAACATTTTAATCACAGAAGAAGGAATAGGCAATGGACTAATTAAATACACAAAAATAAGTTTTAGTATAAATCCAGTTAAATAGTTAATAGAATTATGTTTAAAATTGGCATACATAAAATACAATTCATAAAAAAATTCAAATAAAATTTTTAAAATGATTTTAAATGTTTAACATCAAATAAATATTACTATCTCTACCCTATATAAATGTTACTACAAAAAGAAAGTATTAAACTACTTGATTGTGTAATGCAGTGTTTCTCAACGGGAGCGATATCGCCCCATGTGGGCGTTTTTCCATGTTGAGGGGGCGATTAGTAACAATTTATATTTTGGGGGCAAAAAACAATTTTCTGGGCGATATAGTAAAACATTATATTAAGAATAATTAGATATTTTATTTGTTATATCGTACAATAATTACACAAATAACATTATACTAGTCATTAGTATATTCAATGCAGTACGAATTTGGCGTTAGTCTTGGCCCTCGGCATCGGTATTTTGTAGTGAAGGGGGCGATACTATGTTGAAGAGGGCGATGATTCATTAGAGATTGAGAAACGCTGGTGTAATGTATCAAAAATATTTGTTGTATTTCAAAAATTCTTTAATTCTACATTCACCAATAACTTTTCACCAAAGATAAGTATATCCCGAGATTTTAAGAACAGGAATTACTAATCCTGTCTTAATAGCAGAACAGATTGTCAGCCACATTTGTTGAGATAATCACATAAAACAGTATAATGTAAAATTATTAATCCAAGATTTAAAATAGTGGTTAATTCTGTGATTTGTCTAACCCTGTTGTGAAATAGGTCTAAAAGAGTTTCCAGAAAATAACTTGAGATTACTTGAGATTCCTATCTTATGACCTGAAAACAAGACTGTCTGACAGTAATTAAAAACTCTTGTAAAATAAAATCAGCTTGAATTCAAAACCGCATTTTGCAATTTAACTGATAAACAGATAATGGAAAATTTTCATTGTTAATTTTGATTATTATTTTAATTTTCAATTAGATTAATTTTTTATTACAATTAAAATAAAGTTTTCTTGAAAAATAATTTATTCAACTACACTAATGCTAATCCAGCCATTAATTTCACAGAGAAGGTGCCAGATTAGTGAGATTACCAGACTAGGCCTGAAGTCAGTGAATGATATCATCTTCAGTACTAATTATTTGCAGACAGGAGAACAAATAATACAGTACACAGAAACAGTTTGGTTTATTTCATTATGGCAACATGACACATGGGCAATTTACAGAGGGGAGACGCCTTTCCCGGGAGGACTTTTATGGGGAACCAGCTTCTATTTAGATGCTACAAATGTGAATAAAACCCAGAAAACTCCACGCCACCGGCCTGTCGCAAAGTATAAACCCATGACCGATTACCAGCATTTGGTTTTATCCACTTGGCCACTGGTGGGCTTACACAGAAACAAAACAGAAAAACAAGTTATGCAACACAATTAACATTTTCACGGAAATGGAAACAAGCAGACAATTATATGGGGAGTATCCCAGATAATCAAGAAGCCAGATTATTAAGAGCTGGATTAGCAAGAGTGTACAGTGTGTAAATCTGTACATAGCGTTTTTTAAAAATTTATTTAAAGCATTGGTGTTGGCAAAATGTTGCCCAATTAGCCACAATAATCGGGCTTTTCTTTAGTAGTCTTTTTTGATAAGTGTCGTTATATGGATGGCTTGCCGGGCTGCCTGTTAAACACACAATAGGCTTAGTGGAGAGAGTGGCACGACTCCCCGGAAGTAGCAGTCAAAAGGTGGCAATCATGTAGAAATACCCTGGGGGGATGTTTGGAAATAAAAAAAGCAGTCATGTGACCCATAGAGTAATTTTCGAGTGGGCTATGTCCCATGAAAGATCACTTGTAGTGGTATGGTTCCTTTGTCTTTTTTGTTCTTATGAGTATGCTCTACAGTTGTCAAGGTCCCGAAGGTATCATTCGGAGCTTGAATTGAGCCCAAGCGATAGTGAGTACCAAAGCACATGACAAAGCAAGTGATACCAAGCCTTGACGATGCGGAGCATGGAGATACTGATACACGTTAAAAACTGACCTTTAAAGGCGAATATCTCGTAAAGGGTCTCATAAATGTATGGTTCGTTTGACTTTTTTGTTCGTAAAAGGGAGGTCTACAATTCTCATTCAGAGCTTGAATCTTACCTTTACATCATTATTTGAGAAGATGCATTTTTAAATGCGGTTTAGATTTTAAATATTAAAATATTAATGATGAAATGAAATAACATGACATATTTATTTTATAAACAGAAACTTTATACAGCTTACCTTTGAGAGATTTCCTCTTCCGATTTTCTTTTTTCTTTCTTATCGAATACGGCTTCCGAAGCTTCTTCGTCTGAAGAATTGTAATCATAATCGACTAATGAACATTTATTTTTATTCTTCGCTGTAGCAATCATCTTCGTAACAGACCATTCATCCTGACGAAAACAAACTCCAGCGCCCTCTCATTTCTTCTCTGTTCGCCCTCTGTGACGTGTTTCCTTATGGTTCGGTTGCATTCTTTCCATTTTAAAATAAACCAGAAATAAAGTATAATTATTATTTTAATGAGATTATTCAAAAAATGAAGTAAAAGATACTTTATTTTAAATTTATTATTTAATAATTTTTTTTAACTCTTTCCGCCCTGTAGGCACTAAAAGGGCCTATTTTAACAGGCCCATTATGGGGTCGGCCAGGCCCACAATAAGGCGGCCGGGTGGTGAGGGACGGTGCCCTATCCGGAAAAACCACCACCCGAAAAATCCCAAGGATTCGATCCCGGGTCCCGCAGAGCGGTAGGCTTTGACCTCGACTGCTCGGTTTGTTTGTTTGTTTAGTTATGGCAATGCAACACTTGGGCGATCTGCCTAGGGAAATGCCTTTCGGGAGGTCTTTTTAACGGAAACTGGCCCCTATTTAGGCGTTACAGACGTGGAGAAAACCCGGAAAACTCCACGTTGCCAGCCCATCCGAGCGAGGATGGCCACGTGGAACATAACCGAACTCCCAGTGTTCTGGAAACGAAGACCGCTTGGCCATCCGGCCGTCCTAGGTGGAGGGGGTAGGAGATAAAAGGGGTCGTGTGTATCTCCAGTAGGATCAGACTTAATGACGATTTTACTTATTATTAGCATTTACAATTTTCTACAAAACACATCCCTACCACGAAAATTAAGCATTTTGCCATTTTATAACAGTTAAAATCAAAAGTTTTTTTTAAATAAAATATGATAACAGATGACATCATCAAATGTTGCCTAGAAAGTTAAGCAACTCGTTGCTGAATTTTTTAATTTGTCACATTGTTTTTTAAACTCTTCCTCTCCTTTGGATTTAAGGGTTTTTTAAGGGTTTTAGGATTCTAAGGGTTAAGGGTTTCTTTTCCAGGCCCACAGTGGGAATGCTGGATAGTGAAGAACGAGGCTTAATATATTTGACGGACCACTCCCCAAAAAATTCCTATGGTTTTTCGACCCGTCCAGATTTCACTATCCCAGAGCGGTAGGCAGCCAATTTAACCGCTCGGCCATCCCTCCGCCAAATTATGTTAAATTTGGTTATTTTATTATTATTTTAAATAATTATTTTAGTAGGCTATTTTAAGTAATTATTAATATATTTATTTTGTACCAATTTCCTCTTTAGTCGACTTTTAGGGATTCTTAAAGTTACAGTATCAACTTACAGTTTAAGAAGCATCTTCGCATGTTAAGCTCCGAATGTAAAGGTCACGAAATTTTGATAAGAGTAAAAATTTTCTACTGTATTACGTACCTATGGGCATCAAAGTTTTCAGCATTGACGATTATAAAATCAAAATGTGGCCAACTCTGAAAAAATTGAAGATGAAAAAATTGATTTGGAATAAATTGTTTTATGATATATTATCAGTAAGTGTTTTATTTGTATACCTATTTTATATAGGCCTATCTATATACCGGGGATCGCGAATGGAAAAAGTTTAAGAAGCTCTGGTATACTGTAACATGTTACACTATATTTACCTATATTGTAAAAATGAATAAACTACGTTATGAAAAAAAAAATGTTTTTAAAATTCATCTTTTTAAAAATCCTTCACACGAGCCTGATTAAAATTAATGGTTATAACAAAGACTTTCAGTCTTTAGATCCTAATTACAAATGAACTTTATATCAATATTTAACTTAAAAGAAAATACAATTGTTACTATATAAGTTTGTACAGTCGACTCCCCTATAACACGGTAGATACGTTCCGTTCTTTATGAATCGATTTCTTACGAGTCCTTGCCAATCATAGCCCACGTGTGAAGTTTACGGACTACAGCTGTTTAAAAGGTTTTCTTCCATAAAATTAATCGATTCTAGACTAATTCGACTCAACATTTCCAAAATACGTATATTTTTTGGTGAAATAATCCGTATAAACTAAGCTATAAACAAAAAATTGTAGGATTACTTACCGAGTGTGCACTGTTCGACGTCGTCATTGTTCAAGCTTGTTTTCGTAGCGGAGCAACGCACCAAACCGCGGCCGCGATTTCTGATAAGTTATTTTTCTGCGAAAACTTCGTTGAACTTTGGAGACATCATTAATATAAATAATTTTTATGGCCGTTGAATAAGAAATGTTTCTTTCACAAGAAATGTATAAAATTACTGTACTGTATGACTTACGGTACCTAATTTACATACTGTACAGACGATAGTAAACAACTTACTCGCCTAAATTCTCCATAGCGTGGCGCTGGACAGCGGAAAGTAGTTCGGCTGCCCGATGACGTTTTACCGAATTATAGGAGTTTTTTTTTACCAGGTTTGTACGGATACCGTCGCAATTTTTTCGCCATCTTATAGGAATCGTAATTATAGGAACCCTTGTTATAGGGTGGTCTACTGTAATTTGTTGCGAATAAATAAAAACGCTGACATTTCATTTCCCGGATTTATCATACTTTTTCTTTTTGGTTTTGTATTATTAAATATAAATTTAGTAAGAGCTGCATTGTATTTCAAAAATCGCTTGTTGCTAAATGATAAATGCAGCTATAGACCTACTCATAGAATCGTGCATTTATAACTCATTTACACAGTATGAGTTTTGTCGTAGATTTAAAATTTTCCTTTTGTTTTCGAAATCCATTCTTATTATAAATAGAATTTCGAATGTTTCCACATTTAAAATCCTATTTTCTATATATAAGAATGAATTTCGAAAACAAAAGGAAAATTTAAAATTGGATGGAAAGTAGTGATGTAACGAATATTCGGTTACTATTCGGTATTTGGCCTATTCGGCCTATTTTTCGCTATTCGACCGAATACCGAATATTTAATCACTATTCGGCCGAAATACCGAATACTTAAAAACAGGAGTAAGAAATAACAAAAACACAGTAAATTAATCATTTTGGTATTTAGCTTTAATGTTATCCGGTTAGTGTTGTTTGTTTATTTTTATTTATAACTTATAACACGCACAAAATAAAAAAGAAAATAATATTAGTCACATCTATTCACAATTTACAATTACAAAGATCAGCACACGTACACACCTATTCGTTCCAGAATCGTCACACATCTGAGAGTCTGACCCTGCCTATCCTTCTTTTTAAGCGCTCGTCTTTGCTCTTCCCTTTCTCTTTCCTCTATTTCTCTAGTCCACGTATGCCTATGCATACATCATAATACGCGCTCACGATACTTTCGATTCGTCACTTTTCCGTCTAGATTTCCCATTTTACAATTACGTGACTCATAGCCTGGTGATAACGGAGAAAAGAGACAGAGGGGACGTCGGTATAAGTCACAGTTATTATTTCACATATTCGAGACAGCTTGGTAGCTCGAACGGCCCCAGGCTTTCGCCCGTGCGTGCTAAGTGACTTTCATTACAAGCATTTAGCTTTCCGAAGTCTATGGCAACAATTGTTTGGCATTGACGGCCGCGAATTTCGTGCCAAGAAGCTGCCTCGACTTGTTCGATTATGTTATCGACTCAATTTCATATTTATTTTCACATTTTCACTTCGCAGTCCTTCTCTCTTCTTTTTCCGTTATTTACACGTGTACTGTAGGTCATTTCATTGTTATCCACATTTGATATCATCATTTATCAGATACTGCCATGACGCTCTTGTCTGTCCGCTACAACTGTCAAGAATTAACGCGATTGGCGAAGCGTAGTGACAGCGGGCCAATAGAGAGCAGGATCTTTTCCATAATGCGGTTTGCGCGCCAATTTTCGTACGTGCGTTAATCAAGCCGTATAGTATGGCCGAATATTCGGTATTCGGCCTCAGGCCGAATATACTATTCGTTGCAACACTAATGGAAAGGTATTCCGTTTTTCATACAATCTTCCTTTCGTTTATTTATATAATATGTGCAGAATAGTGGAATCAGAAATCTAGGGAGATGGGTTATAGAAAGGAAACAAGGAAAATTTTTTACTACCTGAGGTACTTGGCTTTACTCAGGAAAAACCTTCAGAACGGGAGTGCATCTGCACCCTGCGCACTCTTTTAAATCGACGGCCAGATGGCCGAGCGATCAAGGTGACAGCCCACAGGACTAGGAATCGAATCTGGACGGGTCAAAAAATTCCCAGGAATTTTTCATGGGTGATCCGACGGATATGTTGACTTCTGTCCCTCACCACCCGATCGTCACATTGTGGGCCAGGCCCACAATGTGGCGACCGGGGCTATAATGGGCTTTAAAAAGATGCCCTCTTGAGCCCACAGGGTGGAAAGAGTTAAAAAGAACCTTCTGAATCCAAAATCCAACCCTGTTTATGCACAACATTAAAATAACTTTTTTTTGGTCGTAATTTTACTTTCCTGTGTGTTATGTATACATAACAAGGGAAAGAATTAAAATCGTATCAAATTTAACCCTCTGGGTTTTTTACAAATTTTAGATGTGTATGTGTGTGCGTTTGTTTGTTCGCATCATAATGGTTCTCATTACGGTTCGGACAGATGGTGAGGGACGGGACACGACATATCAGGACAGACTACTCCCTGGAAAATTCGTGGCGTTTTTCGACATATGTAATAATAAATTAAATAGAAACGTATTTTAAATTAATTAATATCTATAGTAAACTTATGTAAAGTGCTACCTGTAATCGGGACAAATCCAAGTTAGTAACTTGAATTATTTTGCCTTAACAGATATAAAATAAATTAACAGTTAATATTATCATATTTAATTTTATAAATAAATTTGCACACAGCTTCTGAAATATCCAATGACACGAGTTCGATAGTCGATTGCTTAGCATTTATTTACTATTGGAAACATATACTAAAATTGATAGTTCTAGTTCTAGTTTTCTATATGATGATTCTAAGCAGAATTACTGAAGGTTCATTTGCTTTTTAAATACACGTAGTAGGAGGGTACTGTATAATAAAATCAGTTGATTTAGTTTAGAATGTTTTAATATTTAGATTAGACGATTTTGTATAGAAAACTGAATAGAACTGAATATGAGATATACATACAGGTATATCCTGTTGCGTTTCGGATAATATTACAATGGCACACGAATATGTGAAGCGCGTAAAGAATTTTACGTTTTTTTTTTATAAGATGCTCTTGCTAAGATTAGAGAAAAGGATGAGTTTGTAATTGGCAGATAACCCTCAGCGGTGCTTAACCCGCTTTCAAATTGACTTTTAAACATAGATAAACCATGTGTTATTCGAAGGAAATTGTGGTAATTGCTAAAGAGTAACGATTTCGCAATGTACTGTACATCATGTAAAAAATCTTTTCAGTGCTTTTTTGCGATTTTTACACGAATTCAAAAGTAAGAAATTTAATACTTGGTCTAATTATTTAAACTTGAAGATCTTTCAAAATTTCAAGTTCGTTCATCTACTAGATTTAAGAGAATAATTTTAATCAAATGTTTCATCACTAAATAAAAAAGTTCATTTCTATTTCTTTCATGTAATTTATTTCTGTACAACAAATGACGGCATACAATACAATTATCCATATAACAAAACAATCTATGATCACGAATAAAAAACAAAAACAAAAAAAAATAATAATAACTATTATATCAAACACATATACAATATTTGAAGAGACACTGTGAAATATTTTAAAAGAAACATCAAAATTTAAATTTCATTAATATTAAATACACACATATAAACAGAAATACCGCGAACAACTTTGCTTTGCTTTGTTTTGTACCGAGTTATTATTAGTTTTTCTTATTGATGATCCAAGTCTCTTCGACACCCGTTTTAGAAATATTCCATGTGTTTATTCCATTTTTACTTTTTCTCTCGTCTAGAGTACCATTATAATAACTTAATGAAGAATCCTTTGTGATCAATTTCTGGTGTCATAAAATGAATTAAAATATAATTGGCACTTATGGAGACATTAGAACATTTTGCCTCCGTTGTCTAAGTTTCGGTTCAAACATAAAACCAATTTTTCAACTGAAAATTTAAAACAATTAAATGTATCACACTTTAAAACACGTCAAAATAATTTTCATTTAATTATTTAAATAAATAAATAATAATATAAAACATTTTAACGTTTTAAAAAAATTCAAATTTTAAAAAATTTTATAGCCAATTAAACAAGCGCTATTTTAAAAATTTGAATTCTTTCATATTATTGGTTGATATATCGAAAGGCAAATTATGCAATAAATTATTTATTTTATTACTTTATATAATTAAATTTTACCCGAAATCGTTTCCTTTCTGTTTTTTGATTTTCTATTCCTCTTTCTGATTCTGGTGTAATTGCGTAATTCAATTTCTATAAATTTATTTATAATATAAGTTTAATAATAGTTTCTCTCATCAGATGTCGTCTTCTTCATATTCATTTTCAAGCATACTTACATCAGAGCACGTATTTCCGGGAGCTCGATAAAATGCGATGAAAGCAAATAAAGGTACCATGGACACGCTGGAAAAAGCGAAACCCCACCCCAGAGCAATGGCCCATGTTGGAAAAAGATATCCATGATAAGTAAGAGGTGGACTATTGATGATAGACAATGTTATTACAGTCTGAAAAACATATATATATATTTCAATTCTCTGATGAAACTGGTAAACTAATTTCTTTGTATGCGTTCTTTGATGATTAATTCTAGTGTTAATGTATTGTGTTCCAATGTTAATTCCAGCGTTAATATTACTAGCATAGCATCGAATGGATAAAACTACTGAATATTGGTAGGATGGTCGTGGGTTCGTCCCTGACCAACGGGCTGAACTCGATGTTTTATTCATGAATCTAACACCTAAAAAAGGATAGTTGTCTCTTGGAAGACCATCTATATGTTGCGTTATCTTAACCCTCAAATCCTAATCAAAGAAAATTGAAAATTGACTTAAAAAAACAATTTGATAAGCATTAGACATGAGCAAAGTATGTTTTTTTTTTCTGTTTCAGTATTAATTTTATCATCATATATGTAACTTATGTCATAAATATGATTTGTTTATTCACATCAATCACTCAGTTACTTCGTGAACATGCTTATTTTTGTCATATCCTTTCAATAATAATATTAATAGCATTGCATCAACACGAATAATCATCAAAAGCACGTATACTGTTTCTTAATTAAAATTTTATGTTATTAATATTTAAATATATAAAATTCTTACTAAAAGAAATGTTGGACTAATAAATTTCCAACATAATCTCCAATATATTCCTGGTTGAAAACCCAACATTTCTTCAATATTTTTGCAAAATCGATCGAGACCTTTTTTAACGAAAAATAAAAATAATTAAACAAAGTTAAGTTTCAAAAAAATCTTTAACACAAAAAATCAATATCGGTTGCTGAACACCTGTTAGTTTTATTTATTTATCTGTATACAAACAGCTTTAAAAAATTAATTTTAAGTTAAATATTCCTAAATTTTTCTTGACTAGATGGAAAACTCACCATAAACCCAGGCTATACCGACTGCTTCAAAAAATGCTGAACAAATAAGTGATATACCAGCTGCGTATGTGTCAAACCAATACATCATATAACCACCTCCCTATAAAAATTAAGAAAAATGTTAAACTTATTTGTATTCACTTAACAACTTTACTGTAATTTCTATTATTTACTCACTCTCGTTACATTAATTATGGCAATACAGAAAGAAGTTGCCAATACTCCAGCTGTAAATATCTGGCGACTATATCGCCATTTTACGAAATATTTTGCGTACTCGTCTTTTAATCCAGTTATAACTGATTCTAATCCACCCATCTGAAAAAAAAACACGGTATTTTTAAGTAATAAAATAAAATTCAATGTCTCGAAGTTGATTAAATTTATTAAAAAATCAACATATTGAGTGACTATTTGATATGGAAGTCACATAACATGAAATAATTAAGCATTGCTCACTGCGCTATCAAGGCCAAGAGTTAATAGCATGGTAAAGAAAAGAACAGCCCAAAAAGGTCCTCCAGAAAGGGTTGCAATCGCTTCTGGATAAACCTGAAAAATGAGTCCGTATCCATCTTTGGCAACATGAGTAATTGGTACACGTTCTTTGTGAGATATATAACCCAAATAAGCAAATATAACGAATCCGCCATAAAAGCTGGTGAAACTATTCGCTGCAGTTGTCCATAAGCAATCTCTAAATATATAAACATGTTTTATTATTTATTTATGTAAATTTAAACATATGAATATATAAATTCTCAGATCAGAAAATGCTAAAAAGGATTATGAAATTCTACTTGCTTATAACAATTATTATGAAAAGGATTGTAAGATGCGTAAGTCAAATGTACACCAAATCCAACTCCAACAGAATAAAACACTTGAGCAGCTGCATCGATCCATACCTAAAAAACAAAATATAATTATCTTTACTTTTCTTTGCCAAAAAAATACGTTTAAAAATGCTTTCAATCAATAAAAAATCTTAAATTTATTTTATATCTCGACTGACCTGAGATCGAAGAAGTTGACTGAAATCTGGATTTAGATAATAAACAAGACCTTGACCCGCTCCGGGAAGCAATAGACCACGTATCAATAAGATGGTAAGAATAAAATACGGAACAGTAGCTGTTACCCATACTACCTACAATTTAATTGAGTTAAATAACATTTTTGCATAATTTAATAATTATATCGAATTATTTTCTTTACTTTTCCTGAAGATTTCACTCCTTTAAACAGAGCAAAAAATAAGATGACAAAAACAACGAGGACGCACATTACTAATTGCCATTTTGGTGCTCCCAAATCGTGTAATCCTGTGCTTAGATGTAGTTCCAATAATCCCCGACTATAAAAGTTAAATGAATTTCAATGGATTACTTAAAATTTTTCAGCACTTAAAGTTATTTAAAGAACTTACAATTTATATTCTTAAATTATAAGTTCTTTAAGAGTTAGAATAATGTAATTTATAAAATATAATAGTTAAATCTATGAAGAAATATTAATTAATAAAATTGATTTAAACACAGATTTATCATAAAAATATTCAATTTTCTTGGAAACTAGAATTGATTAGACAAATATTTTTCTTGAACTTGTCAAGCAAATTAAAAGCTAAACATTTTAAATCGATTATATCGGTTTAACATAATATTTTTTCGAAAAATTAATAGTTTTTTTACGGAAGAATACCGAACTTGTTTATTATATTTTCACACAATACTAGTTGACACTTTTGACGTTGATTAGATTAACGACTGATGACAAATGATGACATTTTGTGGCGGTTAGAACTTTAAACGTCATACTTCAATTTAATTTAACTGACACTTCATCAATTTTAGCCCTTCATACGACAGAGCAATACAATAAATAGAAAATGAATGAATTATTTTAACAATGGTTAACATATTGATACAAGAAGTATGAATAAGCATGGATACGGAAAGATCCGTAAATTTTTAATGAAGATATATATATATATATATATTATATTAAAGATATTTTATTCTTACACACACATATATATTTAATAGTATAAAAATATAGTATAAGATATTAAAAGGTAGTAAAATTAATTAAATTTATATACCAGAAGTTAGAGTAAATATCAAAGTGTTGTTGAATTATGAATGAATTACGAAATTACTTTTTGCGAAGGTTACGATACAGAAGATATAATTTATTATTTTGACCTATAAAAAATAACATATTATACCGAACGACTATATCCTTTCATAGAAGGGAAGCAGCAAATTAAAACAAAAAATTTATTCGTTTTAAATAAAACAAAAGAGAGATTATCTTATATTAGTTAAGTAAAAAATCCAGAAAGTTTTAAATTATCTTCATTAATAACGTGATCACTCTTAAGGATTTAAATTATTTAAAAAAAATTTTTTTAAGCTAGAAGACGGAACGACCTCGCTAAAAGTTCGACGTAAATAATTAAGTAGTAGGTTTTATGATGGTCATAAATATTTCTGAATGCTGTTTGACGTCTTAATTAATAAAATATTCTCTTAAATCTATTTAAATCGGGAATAAAGTTTACATCATTATCACTTATAACACATTTTTAAATTAATTTTAAGATCAATTGATATTTTTTAATTCGCTGACTTTTAACCATTTTAATTATTTTTCTTTCATATTAATATTAAATTTTAAAGATTTCTGGCAGAAGTAATTTTATTTATTTATTTTTAAAATACATTGGTAATGCCAAAGTGGCGACGATAGCCTCTCCGAAACAGATCCTTAATAAAAAGAAAGAAGAAATAATAAAAGAAACTATTTACAATAAGGAATTTTACTAGTTATACTGGTACTCGTATAATATTTACTTACAAATAGTTTTTAATTTATTTAAATATGAGAATAAAACGTTTTCTATGGGCCAAACAGAAGTAGCAAAAGATTGTTGAAGTTTAGTATTGTATTAGTGTAAATATCGTAAAATAAAAATATACTGCAAAAATTTTTTTTTAAATCTCTGTTGAATTTTTACATTTTATAAGGCTTTTTTATTTTTTAATTTATTTTAAAAGTTTTCTGATAGCCTTCCATTTCATCCTTTGAAATCTTCTCCAACGTCGTAAACAGCTCATTTAAAAACATATTATCATTACGAAATCTACTATTATAATTTAAAATACCGTATTAAAAATGGATCCTTAAATAAAGTTTCTATGCTTATAGATATAAACGCAACTTTCATAGATTAATATTAAACTTACTTAAAAAATTCGAACACGGGTGAAGTTTTATTCAAATAAATCAATTCGACGGATAAATTAGAATAATTTTGTTGAGTAAAATTATCTCCTCTGCACTTTTCCGTGTTCCATTCGTTTCCACAATGAATCCAAGGAAGATCAGAAGAAAATGAAGCAAAGATGAAGTATACGGTCCATCCGATGATAACATTATAATAAAAGGACACGTACCAAGAGACTAGACAGGCACAGTATCCCACACCTGAAATATAGAATTTATAGCTTATTTTCTAAACATATTTTATAATTAGAGACATAATAGAGCATAAAAGATAATGCTAATAACCTTTAAAGAGTGGGCATATCTTCCAAATGCTGATGGGACCTTGTTTATTATATTGGCCAAGAGCCAGTTCCATGTAGAAAAGGGGAACTGCTCCGAATATCAACATCAGGAAGTAAGGAATAAGGAAAACTCCTGAATAAGGAAGACATCTTTGGATTAAAGCCAAGTTTAATCGACGGAAGTAATAGTTTAATAGTGCAGTACATTACAATTAGTAACAGTAATTGAACTTATTGTTCTTTTACAATTGACGCGTATTTTATTCTTAAACAGAAAGTAATGAATTATAGTTATTATGATTATGTAATGAATGTAATTAATTTGCAAACCGATTTTCAAATCTGTAAACTTAATTTAATTATCAATAACGAAATAATAATTAACAGAAATGGAATTTGATTTAATGTTAGGATTTGATACTAGGATTATAACTTTTATATACTTTTCAACACAATATCTTATTTAAAAAATGATATATTATTAGTAAATAAAGAAAATATTAGCAAATTAAATAAATAATAGTTTTAAAATAATAATATCGTGAAGGCTTCTTAAGAATTATGAGAGGCCTTTACCTTTGAGACTCACAACATCATTAAAAAGTTGTATTATATTTTAAGTTAATAAACTTTGACGAACATAAATATATATTTTTATTAATACGCAAGAAATGAAATAGAATAAAGAATTCGTAACAAATGTTTTGAAGCACGAAAAAAAAAGCCAGCAAAGATCTTTGACCATGCTGACCCCCTTTGATAGAACCTCATCTGGATCGCGTACAACAATACAAAATACAAAAACAACTTAAATCTAGATGAAAAGACATTTCTTTTTAAAATATTAAAGATAATTTATGAATATTTTGATTATTTTTGAATAATAAAACGTTACCTCCTCCGTTTTTATAACATAGATAAGGAAACCTCCAAACATTTGCCAAATCGACCGCAAAGCCGATAATAGATAATAAAAAGTCGGCTTTTTTATTCCACGTAATCCTTTCTTCCGAGTTTGGATTTTGTTCGATTTTATTATCTGTTTCTTCTTGGAGAGGAACGACCAAACTACCATCCATTAAATCGGGTTTAGTAATGCTAAAATTGGTAGTATGATTGTCTCCTATAAAACAAAATTCGATATTGCTGTATTATTATAATAATTAATTTTTTAATCTAAGGATATATTTCAAATTTAAACTTTTACTCTTCTCGGGATCTCCGACGAGATCTGTATTAATGGTGGTCTGCAATTCAACATCTCCAGATGTCGTCCTGTCAGCCAATGGAAATAGAGTATCCTGTTCGGCTAACGGGCGTGCTGGCATGATGTCATCACCTGACTTCTGATTGGTCGAACAGTCCATCCATCTGTGCAATATGGTAGCTATGAATGACTGAAAAAAATTACCTCAAATATATTAAAAATAATTTTTATAAATGAAAGGGTCATAATATCTAAAGTATGGATTATTTATTTAATATTTTTACATTGTTTTTAAATGAATAAATGTAGGATAGATGGAAGAGTTTCTAAAAAACAACTTTCTCGTCGATATATTATGATTATATCACAATAATGTTTACCTGCTGCGTCTAAAAATATGTTTGTTAAACTTGAGTTTTAAAAATAAATTTGTTTCCGGTTTCACTTGGACTATAAAACAAAATAATGTACTTAAATAATCACAAAATTCAACACAACATTTAACACGCCGCAAATATACTGTCGGATTTTATAACTGAATAATTAGTTTTAAAAACTCATTTTATTCAAAATTTGCACGTTTATCGAACCTTGTAAGTAGCAAAGCAGTCATTTAAAAGTGTTCACAACTCTCGATGTGACATCATCAATACCTATCTGGTTTTTAAGTTTCAAGGTTAAACAACGCCTTTACAAAATACCAGCTAGAATTACTTCAAAAGAAATGATAAAAAACAATAATAAAATAAATAAAAAAACTCTTCTGTTACAACTGATTTATGCTAATTTACTTTCAATCGCTAGAAATCCGTTTATTAAATTTCATACATTCGAAATTTCTAACGTAAATAAAATATAAGATGCTTTTCGTTTTCGTCATAATATAGATTTCAGAAAAAGTAAATTATAAAAATAATATAAAATATGCTTAATAATTACAGAGATTAATAATATAATACCGCTATTTTAGACAGTTTGATAACAGCATTTAAGTAATTTAACGAACTTGATCTTTTTTTTTTCAAATTCAACTTGATAAAAGCATTATTCGGAACAATAAGCGAATGTAATAGTTAAAAAATATATAATAATTTTTATGTTTCGTATTTACTAATCATGGCTTATGTAAGTGAGACGTATCCCACGTGGTTTCCAGATGTGTTATGTAAACAGTGAATTATTTTTTCTATAAAAGGCAACACACTTAATATACTCAAAACAATTTGATACATCAATATCTTATTGGAGAGAATACTTAGATATCGCTTCTCAAGAATATGATAATTGATGAGTTTTAAACTTATATATATTTGAAATAGGCTAACTCATTAAAGTTACATATAGACTATTTACTTTCAAAATTTTGTTATTATTCAAATAAAGTCTATCCATTTGATACAGTAAACTCTCGTTGATAAGTCTGCAATCCCAGTTACTATACATCACTTTAGTTAACTATATTAGTTTATATGAGTAAGGATTTCTATATTCTTACATTATTTAAATTCATACAACTTATATTTATGTCCGAGTTTAAATAATAAAATTCACACTTATATAAAAGTTAATATAAATATTTATATAACTGTAGTCGATAAGTAAACAAAATATATTTCAAGAATTATTTTCTAAATCTGGAATTTTATTTAAGTCGATTTCAGAAGAAATATTTTAAAAATACTTTTCCGACTTTTATTTGACTTAATTTATAAATTAAAATAAACAGATCGTTATATATTTAGAGGAGTTTAGGATATTATAAAATCATTCAATTTAATAACGGAAAAGCTGCAATCTTATACATTGTTTTTTGTATTTCTTATATTGACACGTTATAAAATTATTTTAAAAACGAAATTATGCATTAACAAAATAATTTATTTAAATCTACAAAAACAAATTGTGTATGTAATCATCCCCACAGCTGTCATAGTAATGCAGTTTTACACCTATTCATTGAATAAATTATAATTAGGGATTGCGTTCTTTCAAAAATTCATGGCAAAAGAGGCCCACTAAAGAGCTAGAGGAGTCCGCATTACCCGGACCCCATACAAGTTCTCGAGGGCCCTGGTTATAATGAACAAGAGGATTTACGGCAGTATATGCTGTATACCCTGTTTTTTTCTTTTGTAAAAATATCATATATCATCAGGTTTTGCGATTTATAAACCTACATTGTACTTTATATACTGAAGAAAGTTAAAATGAATTGAGGATTGATTACAATGCGGATTATTCTCTCCAGACGTTATGGAAAAATATATAAAATAAAGTTAAACGTTATGATTTTTCTACGCTGTACTACAATAAATAGATGTATAGAATAATTTATTTTATTTTAAATAAGTAAGCCAATACATTCATTTTTTAAAAGTAATTGTTTTTCTTCTCCTCTCCAACATCAATTTTAAAGTTATAGAAAAACTGTATACCCTCTGTTAATTTTACGATTACATTGCTGATAATGAGCGTATGCGATTTTATTTATGCTGTAGGACTTGAAAAAAAGTGAAAAAAATGATAATTTATATATGTTTTTAAAAATTTAAATTTTTAATGAATTTTAAGATGAAGTTTCTACGTAGGCGCACGACTGCTTAGCAAAATTGAATACAATCAACAATTATAGAATTACACTGAATATTTATAATGAAAATAAATATTTCATTAAAAATTGACGTATTTTAGATAATTATCAATTTATTTCTAATGAAATTAGTAATAAATTTAAAAACTAGAAGTAATGCGACCTTAGCACATTGCTAAATCTTAGTCTATCCAAATAAAACTTTCTTGATTAAACATTCTTAATTTTCCTCGATTTGTTTACGAATAAGAAGAACAAATACATTATTCTGTAATTTATAATTGATATAATTATTATTTTTTATTTATAATTTCCTATTTAACAATCACTTAATAAAACGGATTTCATTAGAATTGCGTTTCACGTTTCAAAATACTGTAATTCTCTTTTTTCTCGCTTATAAATATGTATTCCCGACTTTGGCAAAAAAATCTTAATTTCATTTCCATTTTCCATTAACTCAGTTATTAATTTATTAACAGAAAATAACCTTTACATGCATTTACATTATAAAATGTCCATCGACAGTAGTTATACGCTGCTTTCTTAGAAGCAATCAAGTGTGTTTAGTTTAAAACTTGATCAATGTTTTCTTACTTCTGAAATTTTGTTATTTTTAATAATTAAACACGTGAATATAGACATTACTTCTTGTCATTACACCACGCTGATTGAAGCTTAAACAAACTACTTTTTTTATATTAGAAACAAATTACATTAATTCTGACAATGTTATCATTTTTAAAATATTTTTATATCTCTATTTGTGTATTTAATTTATGCAAATTTCCATTTTAACTAAATCTTCTACGAATATCTTAAGCTTTTTATATTAAAATTATGCATCTTTACACCTTAAAATAATGATGATGTTAAATTTTAAGCTGTTTAGTATAAGTTATGCGTTATTCCAGTGGCGCTTTATAACTTCATGGGCCTTGAATTAAGGGGCCGCATGCACTGTACAATGCTGACTTCAGCCATTTTTCTTCGGGAAAATTTTTGGGGAATATTTTCTTATAAAAGATTAGTTTGGGACCCCCTGATGGTGGGAGCCCCAGACAATTGCTCTTTTTGCCCATAGGATAACGCGCCACTGTGCAAATCGAATAAACAGCAATATAATTCCTTCCCTATAATAACAAAAATTGCAATTTGACTGAACATGTTTAAGCAATTTCAAATATTAATATTTATTTAAAACATGATTAATAAATTATTAACAAGCGAATAACTAAATTTTTTTCGCTTATTTTTTATCGATTATATAATGTATAATTATATTGGTTTAATATATTAAAAAACAAATTTTATTTAATTTATAAATTAAAATCAAATATTTGCTAAAAATTTAATTATTATCTAGAATGTAAATTTCTCCTTTAAATGGTCACCGTGTTCAATAATATTATGATAAAAATTAAATAATTAAATATAATATTTTACTTTATAAATCATCATCATCAACCATTGTCACTGCTGGATGAAGGTATCATCTAATCTTTTCCATTTTTTCCTTATCCAATGCTTTGGTTTTAATATATATACGGTATATATTAATTAGTTCTAATAAATAATTTTCTTAAAATAAACGCCACAAATAATATCAAAATGTAACAAAATTGAAAATTACTTACAAAAATAATAAAATATAAATATTATTTGAAAAAAATAATAATAACTTTAGCGTTCATTCGCCCCTCCGAATCCTCTAAATTCGTATCTGAATCACAGAGCTTATTATTTTTCTCCGTAGGCGCCAAATTATGTCATTATGCCACTGGATAACAATGCGTACATTTCATAAATACTTTTTCTTATGCATATTTTGCAACTGTTATTTATTCAAATTAATTTATATTAATTCGTTATGTATAAGTGTCATGATATTTTATAATTTTTAAAATTTTATACAGGGTACGGTACGTTATTATTGTGTTACAAAAGTTGATCGGAAATTACCGTAGAAAAATTCTATTGATAAAAAAAAATGCTAGTTTTTATTTTCTGTAAAAATAAAAATAAAATATTCATATTTTGTCCGTAACTTTACTTATAACTTTAGCGTAATAGTTTTATATGCGTATATTATAAATTTAAAATATGCTTTGAAAAATAAAAGTAAAAGTAGAAAAGTGAAAAAATTAACTTAAAATATGAAACTTAAAACTGAAAGAGCGTAAAAAATCATAAAGGCAATCGAAACTATTCCTTTGATTTGATTAGACATGTTTATTTTACGCTACTTAATATATAAATATCATATTATCTAAGTTAAAGAAGAGTTTGTTTTATCGAATTTCATATGTTTATTTAACGATGAATCTTGAAGGGTTTTGATGAAAATTTTCTATCAATTTTATGCGTCGATAGAAAAATTTACATTTCAATCATCAATCTTATTATATAGCTTCACTAGACTGATGCATACAGATTTCATTTAATTATTATAGTATTTAACAGCTATAATGTAGTAATAATTTTCTAAAAATATACATTAAATTAAACATTATAATTTTTACACATTAATATTTGCGTTTTTTGATATTATGACTTGATTCATGATAAATGTTCGAAGATCGTTAAGAAATAATTTTTGATTTAAAAAAAATCATTTATTTAATTATTTTATAAATTTTAATTTAAACTGCCATTCAAAATCAAATACTGACCATTAAATATAATTTTAAAAGCATTAAAGACCAAGTTCGAAAATATTAATTTATACTTCTAAATATATATTTTTTAATGAATTTAAATTAAAAAAATAATAATATACATCCGATACTAAATAAAATTAAATAAATATTAACTAAATTAATTAATTAATGTAGAATTTTAATTAATACAGAAAAATTTACTATTTATAAGAACAATTCACTTACTTAACAATTTTAAATATATTTAATTAATTGCTAATTATTCATTTAAAATAAGAAAAATAATTAATTTCTTCAATTTTTCTATTAGAAAAAAAGCCCGTTCCTTCACTCGAAACGGTAAAAAGATTATAATTGATGAGATAGAATCAATTCGAGAGCGTATGAAATTTTATAACTATTAATTTATGTAGTTTTATTAGTTAAGATTACATAAATTCGTGATAGGAAGAATAACATTACGACTGGTTAAAATAGAAAGTAACGAAAGTGCTTAAAGAAATTTGTATATTAAACAACGTCTATTTGAAACTATTTGATCTCGTTAACACTCAATTGGGAAAGCACTTGACATATTTTATAAAATCTACTTAAGCAAAACACTTACCGTTAACTGTCGATATTCATTCGTGTTTTGCTATATTTCCTTTAACATCCATCCCTACTGCCTTATAAGTACTTACATTTCGCACACGTGACTTATCTCCACCAATAACAATGGAAATGATTATATCTAAGCCACTACGTCAAAATTTTGAAAATATCAAGAGTTTTCATCTTACAAAAGACACATTTTCCTCAAATTTAATAAGAATATCAATGTTTCACAGCTATTATAATTATCTCCAGAAGCGATATTAAGTTTTTAAATGCCGAAAATGAAGAAATAAATACATTTTAAAGGCTAAATTGTATATAAAGAAATCCTAATACATAGTCTAATTTAGTTCAGTGCTTGATATATTATTTATACACTGATACTCGAAAGCATTTAGTAAATATTAATTTAGGAAAATATATAATAAAAATAAATTTTAAATTTAAATTTTAAGCAATGCAATATTTATTTTTAAAATTTGTTAACCTTGTTTTAAATAATATCAATGTTAAGAATGTATAAGCAATTAAAAGTAATATTTATTCTAAAAAAAAAATCTAAATATTTTTTCAATCTTATATTTAAATTAAATTTTGTAGCCTAATTAAATTAAATTTTATCATTTAGTACTGGAAGAAAGTGTAAAAAATAAATGACAGTCTTCACACTGCAAGATAGTATTTTGTTTAATGTTTATTTTGCAAAAATATTTTTTTAATAAAATAAAGTTTAAAGTATATTTTAAAAAATAATTCTTTGTTCTATACATAAACAATTATTATAAAATTTACACGATTTTTTTCATTGTAAATTAGGTTAAGAGGTAGACGTCGACCGAATCGATAGCATCTAAAATTAATTAAAAGAGTTCAATCAGCATGACTTACCTTTAGCTACTTCAAAAGTGAAACGTATGCATTTATGCAATGGCATCGAAACACCCCTTGACGTCATCGTTTCCAAAACAATTAATGTCATTCAGGCCAAAAGCCAGAAAAGCCTACGTGATTTTAATACTCGAGAGTATTTCTGTTTCACACTTTCGATTGTATTAATAATAAGAATAAGAATAATGTACTGTACGGTAGCAATAATCCAATTAAATAAGATACGAAGTTAACTTAAAAGTAATTCTACATTTAATAAATAACGCAAGTAGTTACGAAGTAACCTTGAGATGATTGATTATTCAAGGATAACCAGAAAACGAAGATTAAATTATCACAAATTTCGTTCTAGTAGAAAATTGATTTTTGTGAAAAAAAAAAAATATATATATATATATATATTGCCTATATTACGAGTCTATGTATTTAAATTACCAACTAAGCAGTATAAACCGTTCGTTATTTGTTTAGAAAATTGATAATACCTCGTATGTTGATATATACAAGGATGAACGACGTTACAATTTGTAATATAGTACATTTTATTATTCAAATCGTATTATTATTTAAATGTAAATATGTGGGGTACGTGTCGCGTCGTTAAAAAAAAACTAGAAAATTGTATTTAATTATTTATAAATGCTCATAACTGAGCAATGAAAAATTATGTAAGATAAACATTTTTTTAATTTAGCATCGTTACAATTCCGCAGCTCGCACCTAATCATAAAAAATTGCAATTTCCTTTTATACAAATTCGCTTTTTACACATTATGTTAACTAGGAAGAAAAATCATTTACATTCTAGTTTCCTTCCGTTTGTATGTGTTGAAAAACAAATTACAAAATTCATTTTCTTCATTTTTCTTCTTATAATTGACTGATATATAAGCAAAAACTTATTACTAAAGTAAAATAAAAAGAAAATTTTGATGTGTAAGGTACAGACGTGCTCTATCATCCACAGTCGCGACTATTATAATAGGAAAAAAAAAATGGCGGATAAACATTAGTCTAAAGCCGATAGCAAAAGACATGCCCTCTTTTAGAAAATTGACTAATGTAATCCAATAGATTCTAAATATATGGCTTAGCTATTAAATTATCGAATATAAATTTGGCAATTATTCTACGAATTTCAGAATAGTAAACTATTAACAGTAATCAAGTTAAACGAAATTTAATTTTAAAACGGTCGCGAGATTATATTATTAATAAAGTTAAAATTACGATTGAGTAATCTATTTAAACTATAAACCACTTTAATTTCACATTCGTGTTTCCCCCCCAAATAACTTATATTAAATAAGCATTAATTTTTCAATCATTTAATTCAAATAAGATATTCATTAACATGTAGCCTATACAATTTTGTCATCTATATAAGTTTAAAAGTCTCAATAAGTTAATAAGACATTTAAATATTTAAAGAATAAATCTTTAAACGTCCTTTAAAAGTATTTATGAAAAAAAAATTAATTTGTAAATAGAAAAGAGAACTTCATTTAAATTATTNCTTCAATTTTTCTATTAGAAAAAAAGCCCGTTCCTTCACTCGAAACGGTAAAAAGATTATAATTGATGAGATAGAATCAATTCGAGAGCGTATGAAATTTTATAACTATTAATTTATGTAGTTTTATTAGTTAAGATTACATAAATTCGTGATAGGAAGAATAACATTACGACTGGTTAAAATAGAAAGTAACGAAAGTGCTTAAAGAAATTTGTATATTAAACAACGTCTATTTGAAACTATTTGATCTCGTTAACACTCAATTGGGAAAGCACTTGACATATTTTATAAAATCTACTTAAGCAAAACACTTACCGTTAACTGTCGATATTCATTCGTGTTTTGCTATATTTCCTTTAACATCCATCCCTACTGCCTTATAAGTACTTACATTTCGCACACGTGACTTATCTCCACCAATAACAATGGAAATGATTATATCTAAGCCACTACGTCAAAATTTTGAAAATATCAAGAGTTTTCATCTTACAAAAGACACATTTTCCTCAAATTTAATAAGAATATCAATGTTTCACAGCTATTATAATTATCTCCAGAAGCGATATTAAGTTTTTAAATGCCGAAAATGAAGAAATAAATACATTTTAAAGGCTAAATTGTATATAAAGAAATCCTAATACATAGTCTAATTTAGTTCAGTGCTTGATATATTATTTATACACTGATACTCGAAAGCATTTAGTAAATATTAATTTAGGAAAATATATAATAAAAATAAATTTTAAATTTAAATTTTAAGCAATGCAATATTTATTTTTCCAATTTGTTAACCTTGTTTTAAATAATATCAATGTTAAGAATGTATAAGCAATTAAAAGTAATATTTATTCTAAAAAAAAAAAAATCTAAATATTTTTTCAATCTTATATTTAAATTAAATTTTGTAGCCTAATTAAATTAAATTTTATCATTTAGTACTGGAAGAAAGTGTAAAAAATAAATGACAGTCTTCACACTGCAAGATAGTATTTTGTTTAATGTTTATTTTGCAAAAATATTTTTTTAATAAAATAAAGTTTAAAGTATATTTTAAAAAATAATTCTTTGTTCTATACATAAACAATTATTATAAAATTTACACGATTTTTTTCATTGTAAATTAGGTTAAGAGGTAGACGTCGACCGAATCGATAGCATCTAAAATTAATTAAAAGAGTTCAATCAGCATGACTTACCTTTAGCTACTTCAAAAGTGAAACGTATGCATTTATGCAATGGCATCGAAACACCCCTTGACGTCATCGTTTCCAAAACAATTAATGTCATTCAGGCCAAAAGCCAGAAAAGCCTACGTGATTTTAATACTCGAGAGTATTTCTGTTTCACACTTTCGATTGTATTAATAATAAGAATAAGAATAATGTACTGTACGGTAGCAATAATCCAATTAAATAAGATACGAAGTTAACTTAAAAGTAATTCTACATTTAATAAATAACGCAAGTAGTTACGAAGTAACCTTGAGATGATTGATTATTCAAGGATAACCAGAAAACGAAGATTAAATTATCACAAATTTCGTTCTAGTAGAAAATTGATTTTTGTGAAAAAAAAAAAATATATATATATATATATATTGCCTATATTACGAGTCTATGTATTTAAATTACCAACTAAGCAGTATAAACCGTTCGTTATTTGTTTAGAAAATTGATAATACCTCGTATGTTGATATATACAAGGATGAACGACGTTACAATTTGTAATATAGTACATTTTATTATTCAAATCGTATTATTATTTAAATGTAAATATGTGGGGTACGTGTCGCGTCGTTAAAAAAAAACTAGAAAATTGTATTTAATTATTTATAAATGCTCATAACTGAGCAATGAAAAATTATGTAAGATGTACATTTTATTATTCAAATCGTATTATTATTTAAATGTAAATATGTGGGGTACGTGTCGCGTCGTTAAAAAAAAATGATTAAATTGTATTTAATTATTTAATTTTAGATAAAAATTGATGCCTTTTTGCCAAAATTGGGTTTGAGTATTCAACAGACAAGTAGACTGTCATTAGAAAGAAGTGTTGTTGCAGTCAATTCTCGTCCAGTTCGTATTAAAGATATTGATAAGGTAAAAAAGTTGTTCTGTATATTATTAGTTATTTATTTTTGTAAAAAGTTTTAAAAATTAGCATGCATATTACTTTAGATAGAGTTAGATAGCCTAATAAATAGGAATTTAACAATTTGGAGGACCTACTACACTAAGGCCACCGAAAATCTCTATCTAAACTGAAAAGCCTATCTAAATTAAAGTCGTGGGTTAAAAGTGTCATTTATTATTATGCATATTACTGTTTATTTTATTTTTTAATTTTGTAGGANTATAAGGCTTTTTTATTTTTTAATTTATTTTAAAAGTTTTCTGATAGCCTTCCATTTCATCCTTTGAAATCTTCTCCAACGTCGTAAACAGCTCATTTAAAAACATATTATCATTACGAAATCTACTATTATAATTTAAAATACCGTATTAAAAATGGATCCTTAAATAAAGTTTCTATGCTTATAGATATAAACGCAACTTTCATAGATTAATATTAAACTTACTTAAAAAATTCGAACACGGGTGAAGTTTTATTCAAATAAATCAATTCGACGGATAAATTAGAATAATTTTGTTGAGTAAAATTATCTCCTCTGCACTTTTCCGTGTTCCATTCGTTTCCACAATGAATCCAAGGAAGATCAGAAGAAAATGAAGCAAAGATGAAGTATACGGTCCATCCGATGATAACATTATAATAAAAGGACACGTACCAAGAGACTAGACAGGCACAGTATCCCACACCTGAAATATAGAATTTATAGCTTATTTTCTAAACATATTTTATAATTAGAGACATAATAGAGCATAAAAGATAATGCTAATAACCTTTAAAGAGTGGGCATATCTTCCAAATGCTGATGGGACCTTGTTTATTATATTGGCCAAGAGCCAGTTCCATGTAGAAAAGGGGAACTGCTCCGAATATCAACATCAGGAAGTAAGGAATAAGGAAAACTCCTGTATAAGGAAGACATCTTTGGATTAAAGCCAAGTTTAATCGACGGAAGTAATAGTTTAATAGTGCAGTACATTACAATTAGTAACAGTAATTGAACTTATTGTTCTTTTACAATTGACGCGTATTTTATTCTTAAACAGAAAGTAATGAATTATAGTTATTATGATTATGTAATGAATGTAATTAATTTGCAAACCGATTTTCAAATCTGTAAACTTAATTTAATTATCAATAACGAAATAATAATTAACAGAAATGGAATTTGATTTAATGTTAGGATTTGATACTAGGATTATAACTTTTATATACTTTTCAACACAATATCTTATTTAAAAAATGATATATTATTAGTAAATAAAGAAAATATTAGCAAATTAAATAAATAATAGTTTTAAAATAATAATATCGTGAAGGCTTCTTAAGAATTATGAGAGGCCTTTACCTTTGAGACTCACAACATCATTAAAAAGTTGTATTATATTTTAAGTTAATAAACTTTGACAAACATAAATATATATTTTTATTAATACGCAAGAAATGAAATAGAATAAAGAATTCGTAACAAATGTTTTGAAGCACGAAAAAAAAGGCCAGCAAAGATCTTTGACCATGCTGACCCCCTTTGATAGAACCTCATCTGGATCGCGTACAACAATACAAAATACAAAAACAACTTAAATCTAGATGAAAAGACATTTCTTTTTAAAATATTAAAGATAATTTATGAATATTTTGATTATTTTTGAATAATAAAACGTTACCTCCTCCGTTTTTATAACATAGATAAGGAAACCTCCAAACATTTGCCAAATCGACCGCAAAGCCGATAATAGATAATAAAAAGTCGGCTTTTTTATTCCACGTAATCCTTTCTTCCGAGTTTGGATTTTGTTCGATTTTATTATCTGTTTCTTCTTGGAGAGGAACGACCAAACTACCATCCATTAAATCGGGTTTAGTAATGCTAAAATTGGTAGTATGATTGTCTCCTATAAAACAAAATTCGATATTACTGTATTATTATAATAATTAATTTTTTAATCTAAGGATATATTTCAAATTTAAACTTTTACTCTTCTCGGGATCTCCGACGAGATCTGTATTAATGGTGGTCTGCAATTCAACATCTCCAGATGTCGTCCTGTCAGCCAATGGAAATAGAGTATCCTGTTCGGCTAACGGGCGTGCTGGCATGATGTCATCACCTGACTTCTGATTGGTCGAACAGTCCATCCATCTGTGCAATATGGTAGCTATGAATGACTGAAAAAAATTACCTCAAATATATTAAAAATAATTTTTATAAATGAAAGGGTCATAATATCTAAAGTATGGATTATTTATTTAATATTTTTACATTGTTTTTAAATGAATAAATGTAGGATAGATGGAAGAGTTTCTAAAAAACAACTTTCTCGTCGATATATTATGATTATATCACAATAATGTTTACCTGCTGCGTCTAAAAATATGTTTGTTAAACTTGAGTTTTAAAAATAAATTTGTTTCCGGTTTCACTTGGACTATAAAACAAAATAATGTACTTAAATAATCACAAAATTCAACACAACATTTAACACGCCGCAAATATACTGTCGGATTTTATAACTGAATAATTAGTTTTAAAAACTCATTTTATTCAAAATTTGCACGTTTATCGAACCTTGTAAGTAGCAAAGCAGTCATTTAAAAGTGTTCACAACTCTCGATGTGACATCATCAATACCTATCTGGTTTTTAAGTTTCAAGGTTAAACAACGCCTTTACAAAATACCAGCTAGAATTACTTCAAAAGAAATGATAAAAAACAATAATAAAATAAATAAAAAAACTCTTCTGTTACAACTGATTTATGCTAATTTACTTTCAATCGCTAGAAATCCGTTTATTAAATTTCATACATTCGAAATTTCTAACGTAAATAAAATATAAGATGCTAAGAATATCTTTTTCGTTTTCGTCATAATATAGATTTCAGAAAAAGTAAATTATAAAAATAATATAAAATATGCTTAATAATTACAGAGATTAATAATATAATACCGCTATTTTAGACAGTTTGATAACAGCATTTAAGTAATTTAACGAACTTGATCTTTTTTTTTTCAAATTCAACTTGATAAAAGCATTATTCGGAACAATAAGCGAATGTAATAGTTAAAAAAAATATAATAATTTTTATGTTTCGTATTTACTAATCATGGCTTATGTAAGTGAGACGTATCCCACGTGGTTTCCAGATGTGTTATGTAAACAGTGAATTATTTTTTCTATAAAAGGCAACACACTTAATATACTCAAAACAATTTGATACATCAATATCTTATTGGAGAGAATACTTAGATATCGCTTCTCAAGAATATGATAATTGATGAGTTTTAAACTTATATATATTTGAAATAGGCTAACTCATTAAAGTTACATATAGACTATTTACTTTCAAAATTTTGTTATTATTCAAATAAAGTCTATCCATTTGATACAGTAAACTCTCGTTGATAAGTCTGCAATCCCAGTTACTATACATCACTTTAGTTAACTATATTAGTTTATATGAGTAAGGATTTCTATATTCTTACATTATTTAAATTCATACAACTTATATTTATGTCCGAGTTTAAATAATAAAATTCACACTTATATAAAAGTTAATATAAATATTTATATAACTGTAGTCGATAAGTAAACAAAATATATTTCAAGAATTATTTTCTAAATCTGGAATTTTATTTAAGTCGATTTCAGAAGAAATATTTTAAAAATACTTTTCCGACTTTTATTTGACTTAATTTATAAATTAAAATAAACAGATCGTTATATATTTAGAGGAGTTTAGGATATTATAAAATCATTCAATTTAATAACGGAAAAGCTGCAATCTTATACATTGTTTTTTGTATTTCTTATATTGACACGTTATAAAATTATTTTAAAAACGAAATTATGCATTAACAAAATAATTTATTTAAATCTACAAAAACAAATTGTGTATGTAATCATCCCCACAGCTGTCATAGTAATGCAGTTTTACACCTATTCATTGAATAAATTATAATTAGGGATTGCGTTCTTTCAAAAATTCATGGCAAAAGAGGCCCACTAAAGAGCTAGAGGAGTCCGCATTACCCGGACCCCATACAAGTTCTCGAGGGCCCTGGTTATAATGAACAAGAGGATTTACGGCAGTATATGCTGTATACCCTGTTTTTTTCTTTTGTAAAAATATCATATATCATCAGGTTTTGCGATTTATAAACCTACATTGTACTTTATATACTGAAGAAAGTTAAAATGAATTGAGGATTGATTACAATGCGGATTATTCTCTCCAGACGTTATGGAAAAATATATAAAATAAAGTTAAACGTTATGATTTTTCTACGCTGTACTACAATAAATAGATGTATAGAATAATTTATTTTATTTTAAATAAGTAAGCCAATACATTNTATGTATATATATATAGGATTGCATTATTATTCGACGTGATTAAATACTTTCGTTCTTATTGATATCAAAGTTCAACGTGTTTAATTAAATAAAATCTGAGTTAGCCATTTAAAATAATTATCGTTACTTTCGAACACTGCAACTGTCTATTATACAATATAACGATACAAGAATAATAAGCTATCATTTAATTTTAATTTATTCTCTTTTTTAATTATAATTATGAGCTTTAAATTTTTAAAACTCATTTGTTAATAATCTAAATCGAGCTTTTTATGTTCTGATTACAAAATACCAATCTATGTTTTTTCATATCTCAGTATTTATTACAGAATTCCTTACACATTCTTGCATTCTCATCCAAAAACTTCCATTGAAAAATCTTTATGGTCGTTTATTATTATCTTTCGTTCTTACACGGAAGCTATTTTAACGCTTTATCTCATAAATAAAGATGGATTTATCTATTCAATGCATTTTTATTAGTATAGACACCGATAGACTTCGAGACACGTGTACTAGACTACTTGTAAAATATTTATAACAATATTTGAATTAACCAATCAGATGGAAACAGTAAATTGTTAAAAGTTAATCAACCAATTCAAAAGGTCATGATAATTATTACAATTGAAAGCAATTAACCATATTATATAAAAACTAAAACTATAAAAATGAGTAATAGGATTTTCATTAGTCACGCGTTATTTGAATTAGTGTAGCTTATGTTATTAAATTGAAAATTTCAATAATTGACTAAATTTTAAAATATAATTGTGATAAATTTGATTATTAAATAGGTTTTTTTAAATTAGATTATTATTTGATTTTATAATTTGACTGTGATTTTAACATAAATTACAAAATCATTAATTATATTTGAAAAGAGTAATTAAAAATATTTACATTAAAACTTCTAACTCAGTAACCAAAAAACTAGCAAAACATACACTCACTTAAAAAGCAAATGTTTTATCCATTTTTAAAGTACATCATCAGGCTGAGGTACTAATTGTGCAATTCCATATTAGAACACCAGTCTGATGATGTCCTTTAAACATGGACAAAAGAAAATGTTTGATTTTTAAGTGAGTTTGTTTTATTTTTGTTATTGAGTTAGAAATTTTATCATTATTAACCAGTAAACTGTTGTCTTTTTATTTTACATTATAATAAATTAGCAAGACAATTTTTAAAATTTTCCATCAATAGAGGATATTTTAAAAATCATTTTGTGTGTTTAGAAATAATATCTTCTAAATACTAAAATTCACACCTTCCTCTCACTATCCAGCAATTCACTGATTAAAAAAAATGAATATTTTCAGTTACTTTCAGTGGCCTGTGTCAGTTAAACAGAATTTTATATCAAAATGTCTATATCAGGTTCAAAGTTTGGAATAACTCCAACTACCTTTTTCTTTGATGTAATTGTCGTTGAATTAAAATATAGTATATTTACATAGAGCTATTAATTCTATATTTACATACAGTATTCTAAAGCTGAAACTATCTTCTAAATTAATTAATTTAGAAGATAGTTTCAGCTTTAGAATTAACAAGTTGATAATATCTTCAGTAGTTAACGAGCAATTATTTATTGTGACATTGTTACAATGCCAAGCTGCAATTTTTAATCATATTTTTTAATTAATTTAATTTAAAATATATGTTTTCTACCTCAAATTAGTAGTGGCTTGTCCCTGTACATCATACTTTCCATTAGCAATGAAGTTGTGCCAGTCATCTATCTTACTCCTTTCAGTGTAAAATTTTTGAATTGAAATAACATGACTTCCAGTTTGCATTGGAAGTTCGTATATAGTTAATCAGGGCCTTTTGCCCCTAAGGTTTCCACATCTGATCTTGAATTTTATCTATCTAACACCTTTCTTGAGATTAATTTAAGGAAGGACAGACAGACTGATGGATGAAAGTGGAAATTTATAGGTCTACAATTTTTTTAAATTACAGCCGAATTAACTTCCATTATTGTGTAATAACTTGATCCATATTACCAAGATGATCATGGTCCAGTCTTTGTACAATGCATTCAGATATTTGGTTTAGTTACACACTGTTTAGTCAGTTCTCCTAGAATATTCTTCAGACATTTGATCTGTTCACACTGGAAATGCTTTAGCTTGGACAAACTCACTTGTTTCTTTATTTCATAATAATTATTCTGAGTGCTTTATCAAAAATGTCTCTAAGTTTTCCATTTGAAAGAATTAGCAGCAAGCTATGGTTTAATGTCTATAAATAAATTATTAATATTTTTCAAAATTTCAAGTAGATTTTAAAAATTCTTACTGTGCAATTGTATTGCCAAGAGTAACGGTANTTATTTTATAAGAAAAAATAAAAATACTTTAAAAGATAAATTCCTGTCAAGAAAAGATTCTTACCTTTAACGTTATTGTATTCAACAGTTCGAATCGGTTCAAAGGTTTTATCGCTTCAACCAAACAAACAAACATTGAAAGTTAACTAATAGCATGATTTGAAGAGCCAAGACAGGAAATCTATTCGATTATTATAGTAGTTAGAGCGGATGTTTAATCAACAACACGACATATAAGTCATATGGTTTCAAGAACACGGATTCACAAGGTTCTTTTTTTAAAAGACGATTATTCATATAGCAGCACCATCCCTTTTATGATTGACAGAATGACTCGGGCGAATTGACGCATGCACTTGATCTTTCCAACAGATTGCAGCTAAGTCTAAAGAGGAACCAATTTGTTCGGTGTCCGACTTGACAATTATAGTACATATCCGCTATGTCACACAACTAGTTGCCCTCTTCACAGAGGAAGCTGTCTATTCATTTGTGATGATTACATCATTGGCGAGGCAAAGCACAAGACCTGTAGAGGTCTCTGCAAGCTCAATTTTCGATACACAAGGACGAGTGGTTACTTTTTCCTTCTCGTAATCAAAGATAAACTTATGTATATATATATAGGATTGCATTATTATTCGACGTGATTAAATACTTTCGTTCTTATTGATATCAAAGTTCAACGTGTTTAATTAAATAAAATCCGAGTTAGCCATTTAAAATAATTATCGTTACTTTCGAACACTGCAACTGTCTATTATACAATATAACGATACGGAGGAAATCAGTTTTAGGCGGATACTTTTGCAATATATTCTTCGAATATATAGGCCTATATAAAATTCATATATTCTAAATTTAATTTAGTATTAATCATTTTAAAGTAAATTAATTATTATTACTTATTTTTCATATTTAATTCTCGGAAAAACTTCGCAAATAATTAGAAGTGTAGCTAGAAAAATTATCGATTGGTCGATTTTTAAATGTACTGTACGTAAAAATTCATAATTGATTTTAGTTTAATATACCGTGTTTATATTTTTTGTTATTATAAATTACATTTTAGGATCACTTCCAACCTATTTATGCAGTAATTAGTTAAAGATCTAATGTAATTTACTGTATTTTAATATTTTCTTTTAAACTAGTAAGGCAAACCATATTTGTATTTCCCTTTCCGTATATCACAGTAAATTATTTCGAAATATTTTGTATGCCAATTGTTTTATATGCCCTAGAAACGATTTAGGGAGAATTTCTAAATTTTAAGAAAAGAATAATTATTAATCAAAGTAAAAGCCAAAGTAAAAAACAACCAAAAAATGTTAAATTAAATAAAAAAATATATAAGTATTATTGAATTTTTATCATTTATATCGAAATGTCTCTTATTCTAATATCATTTTTAAGAATCATTCAATTAAATGAGTAATTAAGCAGCTTCATTAATATAATTCAACTTTGAAGATTGTATAGTAATCAAGAGTATTTTGGATTTATTTTTTGCAAGAAAAAACAAAAATATATGTTTTTCATTTTTAAAATAGGATAATAGCATGCATAACAAATATATTTAATATATAAATTCGTACAATAAATCAAAATTATAAATAAATAAACGAAATAAAAGAAACCGAAGAGAAATTTAAATTTTCTTAACTTTTTAAAACACGAATAAAAATTAACAAAAACTATATAAAAAACCCATTTGATAAGTTATTTATAGCTCAAGAATTCTGATAAACACAATGTTTTAAATTGAAATTAAATATCTCTTCCCTTTTTTTAAACTTATTATTCTTCGTAAAGTTAATTGCTCTTCTCAAAAATGGCTTCCAGTAAGTCTCAAATATGGCGCCGCACTACATATTTTCTTATTTTCATGTAATTATTCAAAACAATAAAAATTAAATTTAATTTCAAACATATATACAATCATCACTAGAACAATACGTGATCAAATATAAAATATTTGAACCCATTCTTTTATAACTTCAGCTCAAAAACATATGATATAGGATGTCGTAAGTTTCTCATTAAAAATATTAAAAACATCTACATAAAACTTCATGTGGCTTCGATAAAATTATATTGATGAATTTTATGAATCATTATAGCCAAAATTAATTAGACTCTAATTATTTTATTTATTCATTTTTATAAATGAAATTTCTACTTTAATTTTTAAACATTTTGAATATAGTTTTACATATTTTCGAATTTATTTCTATAGTTTTTCTTTCTGTGTAATTAATCTATCTGTTTTCTAGCGTCGTAAGAAAATCCATTGTCAGTGATTTCTAATCCGTATGTGACCCACTGTTAGGTCACAAAACTCCATACAGGAACTCTACACATACATTTCCCTCTTAGATCCCTTCACAGTATGCCCATGCATAGAGAATTTATTCATAATAACTTACGTTGTCTTTCGTAGGAGTTAAGAATATGAGGCTTGTAAATATGTATAATTAGCAATATAATTTATTTATCTATGTTTATGTATACAGCGAACTACTTATTTCGGTTGTAAAAGCGTCACGAAGAAATTTCAAAAATATATTTTTTTACAATTATCCTTACCAAATTTCCTCAAGTTTATTTTCAACTGTAACATAATTAAATGAATATAATATATTAAAAGTAAAGTTTATATTAATTTCTTAAAACTGTTTCTCTACTTTCACTTTTTTCCATTCATTTTTAACGCGCAAAGTTAAATTAGNGCGGATTATTCTCTCCAGACGTTATGGAAAAATATATAAAATAAAGTTAAACGTTATGATTTTTCTACGCTGTATTACAATAAATAGATGTATAGAATAATTTATTTTATTTTAAATAAGTAAGCCAATACATTTATTTTTTAAAAGTAATTGTTTTTCTTCTCCTCTCCAACATCAATTTTAAAGTTATAGAAAAACTGTATACCCTCTGTTAATTTTACGATTACATTGCTGATAATGAGCGTATGCGATTTTATTTATGCTGTAGGACTTGAAAAAAAGTGAAAAAAATGATAATTTATATACGTTTTTTAAAATTTAAATTTTTAATGAATTTTAAAATGAAGTTTCTACGTAGGCGCACGACTGCTTAGCAAAATTGAATACAATCAACAATTATAGAATTACACTGAATATTTATAATGAAAATAAATATTTCATTAAAAATTGACGTATTTTAGATAATTATCAATTTATTTCTAATGAAATTAGTAATAAATTTAAAAACTAGAAGTAATGCGACCTTAGCACATTGCTAAATCTTAGTCTATCCAAATAAAACTTTCTTGATTAAACATTCTTAATTTTCCTCGATTTGTTTACGAATAAGAAGAACAAATACATTATTCTGTAATTTATAATTGATATAATTATTATTTTTTATTTATAATTTCCTATTTAACAATCACTTAATAAAACGGATTTCATTAGAATTGCGTTTCACGTTTCAAAATACTGTAATTCTCTTTTTTCTCGCTTATAAATATGTATTCCCGACTTTGGCAAAAAAATCTTAATTTCATTTCCATTTTCCATTAACTCAGTTATTAATTTATTAACAGAAAATAACCTTTACATGCATTTACATTATAAAATGTCCATCGACAGTAGTTATACGCTGCTTTCTTAGAAGCAATCAAGTGTGTTTAGTTTAAAACTTGATCAATGTTTTCTTACTTCTGAAATTTTGTTATTTTTAATAATTAAACACGTGAATATAGACATTACTTCTTGTCATTACACCACGCTGATTGAAGCTTAAACAAACTACTTTTTTTATATTAGAAACAAATTACATTAATTCTGACAATGTTATCATTTTTAAAATATTTTTATATCTCTATTTGTGTATTTAATTTATGCAAATTTCCATTTTAACTAAATCTTCTACGAATATCTTAAGCTTTTTATATTAAAATTATGCATCTTTACACCTTAAAATAATGATGATGTTAAATTTTAAGCTGTTTAGTATAAGTTATGCGTTATTCCAGTGGCGCTTTATAACTTCATGGGCCTTGAATTAAGGGGCCGCATGCACTGTACAATGCTGACTTCAGCCATTTTTCTTCGGGAAAATTTTTGGGGAATATTTTCTTATAAAAGATTAGTTTGGGACCCCCTGATGGTGGGAGCCCCAGACAATTGCTCTTTTTGCCCATAGGATAACGCGCCACTGTGCAAATCGAATAAACAGCAATATAATTCCTTCCCTATAATAACAAAAATTGCAATTTGACTGAACATGTTTAAGCAATTTCAAATATTAATATTTATTTAAAACATGATTAATAAATTATTAACAAGCGAATAACTAAATTTTTTTCGCTTATTTTTTATCGATTATATAATGTATAATTATATTGGTTTAATATATTAAAAAACAAATTTTATTTAATTTATAAATTAAAATCAAATATTTGCTAAAAATTTAATTATTATCTAGAATGTAAATTTCTCCTTTAAATGGTCACCGTGTTCAATAATATTATGATAAAAATTAAATAATTAAATATAATATTTTACTTTATAAATCATCATCATCAACCATTGTCACTGCTGGATGAAGGTATCATCTAATCTTTTCCATTTTTTCCTTATCCAATGCTTTGGTTTTAATATATATACGGTATATATTAATTAGTTCTAATAAATAATTTTCTTAAAATAAACGCCACAAATAATATCAAAATGTAACAAAATTGAAAATTACTTACAAAAATAATAAAATATAAATATTATTTGAAAAAAATAATAATAACTTTAGCGTTCATTCGCCCCTCCGAATCCTCTAAATTCGTATCTGAATCACAGAGCTTATTATTTTTCTCCGTAGGCGCCAAATTATGTCATTATGCCACTGGATAACAATGCGTACATTTCATAAATACTTTTTCTTATGCATATTTTGCAACTGTTATTTATTCAAATTAATTTATATTAATTCGTTATGTATAAGTGTCATGATATTTTATAATTTTTAAAATTTTATACAGGGTACGGTACGTTATTATTGTGTTACAAAAGTTGATCGGAAATTACCGTAGAAAAATTCTATTGATAAAAAAAAATGCTAGTTTTTATTTTCTGTAAAAATAAAAATAAAATATTCATATTTTGTCCGTAACTTTACTTATAACTTTAGCGTAATAGTTTTATATGCGTATATTATAAATTTAAAATATGCTTTGAAAAATAAAAGTAAAAGTAGAAAAGTGAAAAAATTAACTTAAAATATGAAACTTAAAACTGAAAGAGCGTAAAAAATCATAAAGGCAATCGAAACTATTCCTTTGATTTGATTAGACATGTTTATTTTACGCTACTTAATATATAAATATCATATTATCTAAGTTAAAGAAGAGTTTGTTTTATCGAATTTCATATGTTTATTTAACGATGAATCTTGAAGGGTTTTGATGAAAATTTTCTATCAATTTTATGCGTCGATAGAAAAATTTACATTTCAATCATCAATCTTATTATATAGCTTCACTAGACTGATGCATACAGATTTCATTTAATTATTATAGTATTTAACAGCTATAATGTAGTAATAATTTTCTAA